GTTTGATTTCTTGACTGCTGCGTCCATGGGCGTTGATTGTGGATCCAAGTAAAATGAAATCCTTGACAACTTCAATCTTTTCTCTGCTTGTCATGATGTTGCTTATTGGTCCAGTTGTGAGGAGTTTTGTTTTCTTTATGTTGAGGTGTAATCCATATTGAAGGCTGTAGTCTTTGATCTTTATCAATAAGTGCTTCAAGTCCTCTTCACTTTCAGAAAGGAAGATTATGTTATCTGCATATTGCAGGTTGTTAATGAGCCTTCCTCCAATCCTGATGCCGCCTTCTTCTTCATATAGTCCAGCTCCTTCTCGGATTATAGTCTGGTGGGAAGACAGATATGTAACACATTCAGGAAAGCTTCCTGGACCAAAATATGCCTTAAACTGTAAATTAAAATAAAATATGACTTTATGAATGAAAGTGAAAAAGTTATTTCCTGTTTTAAGGCGATCCCATTTAGAGTTGAACAGGCCAAGTCCAGGAATTGAGGGCTGCTAATAACAATTCTGGTGACATAGTGGTTAGAAGCTCGGCTCCTTGGAAACCCTATGGAGCAGTTCTACTCTGTCCCATAGGTCACTATGAGTCGGAATCAACTCAACAGCAACAGGTTTGTTTTTTTTTTAATAACAATTCTGTCACTTTATAAAGTGGAAATAATAATAACAGTGCCAGTATTGTAGGGTTGTACTGCATATAAGTGCTTTGCATAGAACTGACTTAGAGCTGCTTCCCTCTGCTGGGTCCAGCTCTCTAGGATGATGACAGAGATTGGGAAAGCAAACTAAGTCACTTTCCTCCTGTATAACATATGCCTCCTGTGATCTGCATTTCCTGCTTAAAGAGTAGTCAACATAAGCTAAGTGATCAGTAAATGCTAGTTGGCTGGCTTTGTAAAATTGTCACTTTTATTTAATTTCTATCCTGAAACCAATCACGTTTTCTTGAAATTGGCAGGAAATATGTATTACAGTGCTTTAGAATCAAATTTATTTTTTCTCACCTTCTTGTCATTACTCTTTGTTTGGGTTAAGAGTAGACTATAGTTGGCATGCTATTGCCAGTTTCAGAGAAATGTGCTATAACAGTAGAGAAAGAAATTCACAGGTATTCCAAGCCAGGTTCTGGTACTCATTTGCTTTGATGCAAAACTTTTGTGAATCTGACATTGGAAATGTAATTGCACCTTAAAACCAAACCACTGGCATTGAGTTGACTCCAATTCATAGCAACCTGATGTGTGTCAGAGTAGGACCGTGCTCCATAGGGTTTCCAATGGCTGGTTTTTTGGATGCAGATTGCCAGGCCTGTCTTCTGGGGTACTTCCAGCTGGACTCGAACCTGCAACCTTCCAGTTAGCGGCCAAGTACATTAATCATTTGCACCACCCAGGGACTCCAGTCGCACCTTAGGTATATTTTATATTTCTTAAATGACTTGGGAGAGATCCCTTGGTTTGAAATTCATTCCCTAAGAGATTATAAATTTAGCCATTTCTCAGTCCAAAAGGATGACCTCCATTTTGCTTGTGCACGTGTGTGTAAATCTGCTCTAGTGGTGGTTTTTGCCTTTTTGTGTGGAAGCGTCTGTTTCTAGCATCCATCAGTTTCCCAGCTTATTCCAGCTCAAGTTGAATGCTGGTGTTCTGCTGACTGGGTGCACTCTGAGGATGATTCTACGAAGAGTTTAGAAACTTCTCTTATTCCTCTCCAAAGTATTTTAGGAGCACTTCAGTTGGTTGAGTTGGAATAGACTTGATGGCAACGTTTTTTGTTTTTTGTTGTTTTTTTTTTTTTTTTTTTCAGTTGGCTGAAGAAAAAGGATGAGAGAATTTAGAATGGAAGAAAAAGCCTTCACTAAGCAACTTATGAACAGTTAGCTCTTGGTTTATTAAGGGCCTACATTTTGCCAGGCCATGGACAGTCCGTCTTTGAGGGGCTTATGGTCTTCTCCAGCAAGGCTAATGAGAATATAAATGAGGGCAACCAAGTGTCACAGTGCAGAGAGGAGACAGTGAGGCCACAGAGAAGTGGTGAGGAGCCCCACCCTGAATGGGGGCCAGGTGTGCAGGGTTAAGGGTTGGGAAATGATTCTCCTTGAGGTTGAAGCTTGAAAGAAGAGTTGGTTTACAAATGGTCTTTGGGGAAGTCAGGGAAGAGGGATAATTCCAGGAGCAGGGTGAGGTGTGAGTTCAGAGAAGGAGAGACTGGAGCTGTCCAAAGGTCCCTGCGTGGTGCAAATGATTTGTGGTCAGCTACTAACTGAAAGAAAGGCCTGGCAATCTGCTTCCGTAAAGATTGTTGTTGTTGTTAGTTGCCATCAAGTGGTCTCCAACTCATAGCAATCCCACGTGTGCAGAGTAGAACTGCGCTCCGTAAAGTTTTCAGGGCTGTGACCTTTCAGAAGCAGATTGCCGGGCCTGTCTCCAAGGCACCTCTGAGTAAATTCATATGTCCAACCTTTCTGCTAGTAGCCAAGCACATAATTGTCTGTGCCACCCAGGGACTCCTTCTGTAAAGATTACAGCCAAGAAAACCCTGTGGAGCCGTTCTGCTCTGTAATACATGGTGTTGCCATGAATCAGAATCGACTCAATGGCAACAGGTTTGGTTATTTTTTGTTGTGGGGCTGTCCAAACAGCTTGACCAAGTTGTAGTGGAGGGATGACAGTCTCAGGTGGGTGAGAAACCTGTGAGTTTCGCCAAGGGCAGAGAGAGGCTAGGGCCAGATTATCCCATCATAGGTAAAATAATGAGCTACTGGAAAGTTTCAAACCAGAGTATAACATGGACCAAAACCCTAAAAACGACCCCATTGCCATAGAGTTGATTCTGACTTATAGAGACTCTATAGGACAGAGTAGAACTGCCCCATAGGGTTTCCAAGGCTGTAATCTTTATGGAAGCAGACTGCCACATACTCTTAAAAGAGGTTTAGTGCTCAAAACTCAGCCAAACAGTATGGCTATATGAAACCCATATCCAAAAGGAATTTGGGTTAGGAAATCTCTGGGAAAATGGATTTCAGTACAGCATATGGTATCTTTATGCCTTCAATTTGACATCAGAGCAGCCTTTTAAAGGGCAGAAACAGGTCTTTATGGGATCTATGCATTAACTGGGTTCAAAGCTACTTCACAAATGGGCACAATTGAAAAAGATATCTTGCATCATAAACCCCTTGCCGTTGAGTTGATTCTGACTCATAGTGACCCTATAGGACAGAGTAGAACTGCCCCGTAGAGTTTCCAAGGAGCAGCTAGTGGATTCAGACTGCCAACCCTTTGGTTAGCGGCCGAGCTTTTAACCATTGCGCCACCAGGGCTTCATCCAGCATCAATTGTTGTTTTTAGGCGCTGTCGAGTCGGTTCTGACTCATAGCAACCCTGTGTACCACAGAACGAAACACTGCCCGGTCCTGCACCATGTTGACAATCGTTGTTATGCTTGAGCCCATTGTTGCAGCACTGTGGCAACCCATCTTATTGAAGCTCTTCCTCTTTTCCACTGACCCTGTACTTTACCAAGCATGAACTCCTTCTCCAGGGACTGATCCCTCCTGACAACATGCCCAAAGTATATAAGATGTAGTCTCACCATCCTTGCTTCTAAGGAGCATTCTGGTTGTACTTCTTCCAAGACAGATTTATTCGTTCTTTTAGCAGCCCATGGTATATTCAATATCCTTTGCCAACACCACAATTCAGAGGCATCAGTTCTTCTTCGGTCTTCCTTATTCATTGTCTAGCTTTTGCATGCATATGATGCGACTGAAAATACCATGGCTTGGGTCAGTCACACCTTAGTCTTCAAGGTGACATCTTTGCTTTTCAACACTTTAGAGGTCTTTTGCAGCAGATGTGCCAAACGTAATGTGTCTTTTGATTTCTTGATGGCTGCTTCCATGGGTGTTGATTGTGGATCCAAGTAAAATGAAATCCTTGAAGACTTCAGTCTTTTCTCCATTTATCATGATGTTGCTTACTGGTTCAGTTGTGAGGATTTTTGTTTTCTTTACGTTGAGGCGTAATCCATGGAAAGTGGGAAATGTAAAGAAATATCTAAGACCTTTCTGCACTGAGCCCAGATTCACTTTTCTATTAATGATCATCATCATTTTCCTTTTCAATTTGTGAAAAAATTACATAGTGCCATCAATTTATTCATATTTAATACTTCATGTTTACTGTCCAAAATAATTTGTGAGATTCTTATGGATGGTGCTCATACTTACAAATCAGTTAAGTCCTCAATTGTTAAGTGAAAGGCTGGTGGTTCAGATTCACCCAGAGGCACCTCAGAAGAAGTGCCTGGTGATTTGCTTCCGGAAGGTCACAACCTTGAAAATTCTAGCGATCAAGGTTCTAGTCTGTAACATATGAGGTTGCCATGAGTCAGAATCAAGTCAATGGCAATGTGGTATGCCTGGCACACAGCTAAGCACATAATAGCAACTTACTACATATGTGTTGGTTGAGCTCCTTAAAAAATTGAACTACTTTATTCAGATTTTCTTTGTATCTAATGAATGTTAGAGTGTGTAGTAGCAAAGAACTGTAAAGTGAAGTCAGAGGTGCTCGCAGTGGAAGTATCTAGTGGTAAATACTGCTTGACGATGCTCATTGGTGTTAGCCTAAGTGTCATTTTCCTTTAGACATGCTCCGATGGTTTCTGCTAGTTAACAGGAAAGAGAAACTTCATGTCAGGGAACAGCTTGTCCTCCTGAGGTTTCAGGCAAATTGATGTTTTTTACTCTAGGTATCGACAACTCTCTGCAGCTTGCCCTTGTCTTTGGCTATGTGGGTTGACTGTCATGAAATGTATTATACTGCTTTTATTGCCCCTTGGGGCTTAATCAGTGCCCGGCAAGTACTGTGTGTACCTGTGACTTTCCTTTGCCTTTTAATTGTTCAGCCTGTGGGGCTGTTGATGGTGTGGCTTTTGTGTGTTCATACCTTGACTGATCAGTTTTTAACCCAGAGCTTATGCTTCTTTGCAGGATGCCACAATTTGGAAGCCTGATTCATGCCAGAACTGCCGTTGCCATGGTGATATTGTTATCTGCAAACCTGCTGTTTGCAGAAACCCTCAGTGTGCCTTTGAGAAGGTATGGTATCTTAATTTATTTTAAAGATACTGGTAAAGTCAGTGTCTTAGGCTGGGTTCTCTAGAGAAGCAAAACTAGTAAAGTGTGTATAAATATATATATATAGAGAGAGAGATTTATATCAAAGAAACAGCTCACACGACTGTAGAGGCTATAATGTCCCAAGTCCGTGGATCAGGGTAGAGGCCTCTCCCAAATCACGCAGCTGCAGAAGCTGGTGAGCCCAAGATCGGCAGGTCGGAGAGCAGGGCTCCCCACTCGCAGGCCGTGAAGGTTGATGAATTCCAAGATCGGCAGGCAAGACCACAAGGTTTCTCCTGATTCACGTAGTTGCAGGGGCTGGTGAACCCAAGGTTGGCAGGGCAGAGAGCAGGGCTCTGCTCATAGGCTGTGAAGATCAATGAATCCCAAGTTCAGCAGATAAGCTGACAGCTCAAGTTCCAAGAACCAGAGACAGCCGCAGGATCCAGAGAGAGCAAAAAGCCAGAACGTCTGCTTATATTCAGATGCAGGCCACACCCCCAAGGAGACTCCCTTTCATCTGACTGGCTGCTCACAGTATATTCAATCATAGGAGTGATCACATTAAAACACTGAGAATCATGGCCCAGCCAAGTTGACACACAATCTTAACCATCACAGTGACAGGGAAAGGTTTTTGCATCTTTTTAGTTGGCTGCTTTTGATATGTATCCCAATCTCTAGTTGGAAACTTTCTGAAATACTGAAGAGAATCTTAAAGTACCGTATATAAGAATATCTTAATTTCCACTTATTGAGCATTTACTCTAGACCAGGCACTGGGTTAAAGATTTTAGAAATGTTATCCCATTGAATATAATGTGGGGCAGATATATTTATTACCACTTTGCAGGTGAGGAAAGTGAAGGTTGGAGATTTTAAGCAACTTACATAGGAGTCCTTGGGTGGTGCAAGCAGTTAAGTACTCAACTACTAACTGAATGATTGGCAGTTTGAACTCACCACCCAGGGGTGCCTTGGAAGAATAGGACTGACAATCTGCTTCTGAAAGATCGTGGCCTTGAAAACTCTGTGAAGCGCAGTTTTACTCTGCACACTTGGGGTCGTCATGAGTTGGAACTGACTGGATGAAATGGGTTTGGGATTTGGGTTTGGGCTCCATAGTTATACAATCAATAAAATGCTGGCCAGAGATTTTATCCTAGGTCTGACAGATGTCAAAGCTACTGATACTAGCCACAGCCTTTATGTGTTGAGTGGATGAAAGGTCAGGATTGACATCTTAAAGATGATTTTCCAAAAATTCTAGTTGGTGTGCCACTGACTGTATTATTCTGCACTGTTGGGCTCTCTCGGAACATAGGAGAGACTTTGACTCAAGGATGTCCTTGTATTTGACCAAGTCTGTGAGTGATAATTCCTCCTTTCCCCTCTGTTAAAAATCTTCAATTTTTTCTGACTACATATCTTTTCTGTTAGGATAATTTTTTTTCCAGGTGCTGACTCTTCTTTTAAAAGTGAATCTATTTTTTTTTTAAAAAAAAAAAAAAGCTTAAGCTTTAAATTTGAACATTTGAAGCTTCTTGGAGAAGACCAATTATTTCTTTAAAAAGCATTCTGTCAACTTCACAAGCTCAGTTTATTTTTCTAGTTTTTTTGCCCTTGCTCTCCAAATAATTAATCTTGAGCCTTTATTACCATCTAATGATAATAAGTTTCTGTATATTCCTAACATTCAGGTGAAGGTTCTCAATACCTTTAAAAGTATTCTTCAATTTCTGCTTGGGTGTATTCTGAGAAGCTGGGTGCACATCACAAATGTCGATAAAATTTTGTTGCATATTATGGGGACTTTCTATTTTATGAAGTAAATACTCCTTCCTAAAAGATCACTATTTGACTTACTGAGTAACATATGTCAGAATATGAGCTGGCGGTATAAGGTCCTACCCTTTTTACATGAGTAAATATGGTATCGTAGAAGAAGCCCTGAATTAAATGCAAGAAGAAATGGATTCTGTTGCTGAAAACTAAACGTATTCTACACCAGCAATCAGCTAACTATGGTCTGCACACCAAATCTGTCCCACCACTTGTTTTTACATTCAGCCATGAGCTAAGTATGGTTTTTTTAATGGTTGAAAAAAAAATCACAAGAAGAAAATATTTCTTGATGTGAAAATTATATGAAATAAAATGTCAGCAGTGTCCATAAATATTTATTGGAACACCATGCTTATCTGTTTATGTATTATCTGTGACTGCTTTTGCTCTACAACGATAATTGTGACAGACTATGTGTGACCCACAAAGGCTAAAATATTTACTGTCTGAACCTTTACAGAAAAAGTTTCTGACCCTTCTTCTTTACCAAAGTACCTTCCTAGTTTGCTCTTCTCCTAATTTTTTGTTTTTTTAATATCAGTAAATGGTAACTACATTCTTAGTGGCTGAGACTCAACTCCAAATTTTCACCCATCCCACGTTTGGTATATTAGCAAATCCCAAGCTCTTCCTTCACAAAACAGCATATTCCAAATGTGTCTTTTCTGCTCTCACTCTGGTTCCACCTATTATCATCTTTCACCTGGATTCTCACCATAGCCTCTTGACTGCTTTCTCTGTTTCTGCTCTTGCTCTTTTACTCTGATATTTATTTCACTTGATATAGTAGCCAGGATGATCCTATTAAAATTTCAGTCAGATCATGTCACTCTGCTCCTTAAACGCCTCCAGTGGTTTCCCTTCTCACTCAGAATAAATCCTCATACTGTTCTTCAAGATCCTACTGTACCCCTCAGACTAAATAGTATTCTCTTTCTTGCTCACTTAGTTCCAGACACGAAGCCTCCTTTCTGTTTCCTGAACATTCTAGGGACACTGTGCCACAGGGTCTTTGTGCTTTGCTGTTCCCACTGCCTGGATTGCTCTTCCTCCAACATATATCTTGATCCTTTACTTCCCTCAGGTCTTGTCCATATGCAACTATATTTAAAATTGCAAACCTGCAACCACTACTATGTATTTCCTATCACTCTCCCATGCTTTATTTTTCTTCTTAGAATTAACTACTATCTGACATACTATATATTTTATGGTATTTTTTGTTTATTGTCTATTCAGTGCATATCCTCAGCACCTCAAATATGGTAGGCATATGGTAGGAATTAAGTAAATATTTTTTGACAGAGTAAATGAATGAATGAGAGATGAGGCTAAAGAATTTGTAGGTTCAAGGTTATGGTGGGCTTTGCATGCTGTACTAAGCAGCTTGGAATTTTATGTTTAAGATGATAGAATACTAATGAAGGTTTTAGGCATACAGGTGGCATAGTCAGCTTTTCCTTTTAGAAAGATCTCTCTGGTTTTTCAGAGTCAGAGACTGAGAATAATCCGCATGAGAGAGGATAAGTACCTAAATCAGAGCACTGGTAGTGTATGGATCAAGAGGAAAGGGCAGGTTCAATGGATATTTAGGAGATAAAATCAACAGAACTGGATGGTTGATTAGATGGGCAGTAACTAGGTGAGGGAAAAGAAAAGGAGAGATGACTCCCATATTTCTGGCTTGATGACATGATGGTTAGCTGAGCTACTGACTAGAATTAGACTATAGAAGAACCAGGAAAAGCAGTCTATCTGGGAGGAAAATGATAATTTCAGTTTGTGGCATGTTGAATTTGAAATGTCCATGGAACAACCAGGTAGATGTGTCAAAAAAGCAACTAGATTGGATATGAGTCTAAAACTCAGAAAAGAAGTCAGGGCTAGATTTATCTCTATGGGTGTCATCAGCATATAGAGATTGTGTGACAAAAGAGTATAAGACTAAAGATAGAATTTAGGGAGCATGTTCACTTAAGGGGAGGTGAAGAGAAGAGAGGAAACTTAGAAACATGAAGAAGGTATGGTCAGAGGGGTAAGAGTTAAGGAATGGTCAGAGAAGAGAATCAGGAGAGTAGAGAGTTTCCTGAAAAAGTTTGTTTCCATAGTGTTGATCACAGTCAAGGGAGTAAGAAAGAAGACTTAACATAGTCCAGTGGATTTGACAATATGGAGGATATATGTGGCCATACTTAGGTCAGTGTCAGTGGAATGGTAGTAGTAGAAGCTGCACTACACAGGTTTAAGGAGTGGATGGAAACTGGGGAAAGGAAAACTAAGTAAAGTCTACCTTTTCAGAAAGCTTGGCTGAAAATGGGAGGGAAGAAATATGATATTAGGTAGGCACCATTACATCTAAGATATTTGTTTGAACCTCCCTATCCCTGACCATAGCTCATAGTGACCCTATAGGACAGAGTAAAACTGCCCCATAGGGTTTCCAAGGAGCACTTGGTGGATTCTAACTGCCAACCTTTTGGTTAGTAGCCATGGCTCTTAACCACTACACCAGCAAGAGTCATTATGAGTTGGAATTGACTCAGTGGCAATGGGTTTGGTTTCTTTCTTTCTTTCTTTTTTTTTTAAGATCCCTGACTGTTGAGCCTGGCTGTGTGTTGCCATGGGGCTTTGGGTTTACCCTTATTTTATTTCATTCCCAGGTTGCAACTGCCTGTTTTTTTAAATTAACATGTGAGAGACTGGATTACTTTTGGAGGGAGAGGGAAGTGGTCCAGAGGAGAGAGAAGTTGAAGACACAGCGGTGGGGGAGAAACAGAATTAATGACTTAGAAGGAGTAGTTTCTAAAGAAGAATAGAGAATATGGGATGCAGAGCTGGGGGTGGTGGGGGGAAGGTGCAGTGTGGATTGAGAGCTAGAAGAGAATAGTGGAGCTATCACTGAGGAGAGAAGGGCAATGACCAAAGACAAGATAAAGCATTTGTGTGTGGCATTAAGAGCCTGTAGGAATAGGAGATGGTGAACCTGTAGGAATATCAAGCTGCATGGTGGAATGATATTCTCAGCAGTGCTTGCCAGCCAGGTACAAGAGAGGATAAGGCAAATTGTGAGATGGATCCAGGATTGGGATTTTGCCATAAAGAGCAAGAATAGAGATATAAGGAAGTGGTGGGTATTGAGGCAAACATGGATAGGAAAATGAGGCCAGCTGGGGCTGAATGATTTCAAGGAAAGGAAGTGCTCAACAATCTTTGGAGGGAGAAGATGAGTGGGAGTGAGAGTGAGAGAGAGGTAAATGGTAGGAGGTTGAAGTTCAGAGAGTTGAAGGTTTCTGATACAGAGCAGTTTGGAGTATGGATCAAGGTTGGCCATGGCCATGGCTAGCTGAAGTAAAGTGGAGGTGAGAGTAGCTTGAATTGAGTTGGTCAAGAATATTAGGATAGAATGTTGGGCTGGTCACTTTCATGGACATTGAAGTCATTCATATTGATGTCTAGGGATAGGGTAGAAAAGAAACTGATGCCTAGGTGCTAAGTCTTTAGTGAGTATGAGGAAATGAGTGACAAATTGAGGGATAATGGTAATAAGGAAAAATGACATAATCAGAGAGCATGAACTTTAAAGGAAGTGGTTCCTAATCTATGAAAGGAGAAAGTTGGACCAGATGATCTAGCTATAAAAAACTTTCAATTCCAAGATCATATGAGGGTACCACAGAGCGGTTGGATTATTTCTTTTAAGTACTGAAATAGAATCATAGAATGGTAGAACTAGAAAGGACCTTAGAGTTCATTTAGTCAAAGTTTCTCATTTTATAGACAAAGAAAACAGATATTTAGTGGCCTTGAAGACACAGAACAATAGATGGCTGTCTTAGTTATCTATTGCTGTTATAATATCACAGATGCATGGTTTTAATAAACAGAAATTTATTTTCTCACAGTTTAGGAGGCTAGATGTCTGAATTCAGGGTGCCGTCTTAGGCAAGGCTTTCTCTCTCTCTGTCCGCTCTTGCGGAAGGTCCTTGTCTCTTTTCAGCTTCTATTCCTTGGCTCTTTGGTGATCTTCATGTGGCATGGTCTCTGTCTTCCCCCATCTCTGCTTGCGTACTTAGTCTTCTCTTTTATGTCTCAAAGAGATTGATTTAAGACACACCCTACACTAATACATCCTCAGTAACATAACAAAGAAAACCCATTCCAAAATGGGATTATAACCACAAGTATAGAGATTAGGATTTACAACACATATTTTGGGGGGACACGGTTCAATCCATAACAGTGGCATAGCCATGACAAGAACCTTAGTCCCTGGCTCATGGCCCAATGTAATTTCTGCTCCATCATTTTGCTTTTAAATTTTCCTTTGTGTTTCTCAGCAACATGTATTGTTGTTATTCAAATATGCTGTGGTATACTTACATTAGTTCATGGCACAAATTAATGAGTATGCTACCATTTGTATTAAACTGAAGTATTATTATTGTTAATAATAACTTTGATTTATATCTTTTTTTTAACTTCTGAAGGCACTTTTATAATTTATGTTTTGATTATGGGATTGACTGCAAATACCTAGCATCACTGGACGTCGTGTCGGTGGCAGTTCTGATATTTGTGTGTGTGTGTCTGTCTGTCTGTCTGTGTATCTGTTTATAATAGATGGATGGATAGGAAAGAGACTGAGACAGAGAAAAAGAAAAATTAAGAGAAAGAGAGACATCTAAAACCCTGAATATCTAACCCAGTCCTGACAGAACCAATCTCTCTTCAGGGTTTCTGGAGAATATATATGCACAGAGGACAATGCCATGTAAAGCGAACACTATATTTCATGGTAATGCTTTGCTGCAAACCTCAATGCAGATAATAATAGTATTTATTTACCTTATAAAGTTGTTGTAAGAATTAAATCATATATACACATACATATATACATACACACACGTATGTATAAATGCTAACAAAAATACCTGACTATAGTAAGCACTCAATGTCTAATTGTCATCATCATTATTGTTATTTTGTTCTTCCATATCCTAAACAAGTAATCTTGCCTAGCTCCCCTGGCACTCTTCATTGATGTCTCTCCTGTGCGGCATGTCCCAATTCTCCCCAGTGCAAAGTCTGGCTGGGCAGTAGACCTGTATGTTTCTTGCAGTCCATGGTGCACTAAGCCATGTAGAGTTACATGGTTAGGTGCCAAGAACTCCCTGCTTCTCTCTTTCCAAGGCCCCATATTCAAAGCTCTTTCTTTCTCCTTTAGCCCAAAATGAGCTCCTCTGTGTTCCACCCGAAGTTCAATAGATAGACCCAAGCTGGGAGTTGTGGGGGGTGGGGTGGGAGGGTGGGAGTATCCTACTGCTACTTACAAGTAAAAAACAATATTTTTATGAAATTAGTTTTAAGGACCAAATGTGAAAATTAGTTTTAGGTAGCCTTCTGTCTACTTTTCTCTCCCACCCTCTCTTCCTATTTCCATGTTGGAATATAGCAACACTCGGATTATCTCATTCTGTATCTGTCTGTCATTCTTAATGGAAATTGGGCTAATGTAGTTTTCTTTTAGCGTTCCGAGGTCTTTTTTTTCTGAAAAGGATCTGGGAATACGTTTCATTTTCTTAAAAAAAAAAAATAATAATGTTGCTAGATATGTGCAGCTTTATAAAAATCCCATACCATCTAAGCAAAGTCCTTTATTAAGCAAATAAGAATTTGGATATCACTGTTATTGATGAATTTATCTGTGTAGTGGATTAACAGATATAAAATCTTAGTCCCATTTCTCACCTATTTTTATGGATGTCATTAGAAAATTAGAATTCTCTTGTAGGTACAACTTTCTTGTTATTGGATAGCAGCCCATCCTGCCCCCTCAAAACAAAGGAAACTATATGTATGAGGAAATTATGTTCTTTACACCCACACATGTATATTTTATTCTACTGGCGGAATTCTTTGTAAACTTTTGTCCTGTGGACAAGTCATGGTTTCCTGACTAATGCAGAGTCAAAATCACTCATTGCCTGTTCTTCCACACCTCTGGATTTTTAGAAATCTTAAGTTACATAGTAGAGCAACAAGATGAATAAGGGGGTAATAGAATCACTAGGTCCCAAAGACAAACTTAGGCTGTGTGCTCCATATTTTTAATAGCTCTTAGATAAACTGATTCTTTACAGTGTCAAATGGATGGATTAGTTAACATGAAAATGCCCCAGTAAATCCTGGAGTATCAGGTGGTGGCCCATCCTTTTGATAATATTGCCTTTAGAGAAAACACAACTGAAATGACAGAAGCCTTGAAAAACAACCTAGATCTTCATTGGAGCTGAGGGATTCCATCCGGCTCACCGCAGTATATGTGATACTTCCACAATAGTGCCGTTTCCTCTCATAACTTTGTCCTTCAGCCAGGGCCCCGTGTGCCTTGCTGCTCTGCTTCCCAGTTAAAGTTAACCATGGGAAATTTAGCTCTCACCTGCTGGCTCCATCTGGCCTTTAGGATAACTGGAAGACCTGACAGTTCTTTGGCTGCCCCAACAGCGGGAAACAATACCCTTAGGGAAATACAGTTCTTCTCTTACCCTGCCTGTTTTTCATGTGTGAAGCTTGGGTGGAGCATTTCTAGTGAATGAAATTCTTCACTTCATTACTTGTGAAAAGAGGCAATTTTCAAAGAATTACTTTCACAAGGGGGTTCATTTTAGCTTTGAGAGAAGCTCATCTTGACAGAGAGAATCTTTCATGTTAATTTATTTGGTTTATCCTCTCTGTTGTTGTCACTGTGGAAACTTATGAGATTTAGTGAACCTAAGATGACCCGGGGTCTGATGAACCATTGTGACTCTTTGGTTGCTGCTGCTACTGCTGTTTTACACTGAACTGAGCTGTGTTTTAAATGCCCAGGGAGAAGTGCTTCAAATAGCCGCCAACCAGTGCTGCCCTCAGTGTGTCTCGAGGACTCACGGATCTTGCCATCATGAAGGGAAAATCCATGGGGTGAGTGTTTTCCGACCCAAGGTTCCGTGTCTGTACATCAGTGGCAAGGGAAAGCTGAATGTTAAACTTGTATTGATGAGGGGAGTATTTTTTGTTTGTTTGTTTGGGCTGTGGAGGACCAGAAGCTGATTTCACTTTCTCTGGGCATTTAGATTTCTTGAATAAAATTAAAACTGTTCTATTTATTCCACAGACCTTACCTAAACATTTGTAGACTGAATTTGTGTTTGTATAAAGGCTAATCTGGGAATGTTGAGGTTGAAGAACTTGCGATGCTGAATAACAAAAGTACCACCTTGCCTTTGTATTATTAATACAAACAGCCCCAAGGGAATGAGTAGAGGAAATATTATTATATGATTTCTAAGTTAAAGACAAAAAAATTCAATTGCAAAGCGCTTGAGATACTTACCAAGTGTCATATTTACAGTAAGTGGTATAACCTGGCCTAGAACTCAGGTTTTTTAACTCCTAATTCAGGACTCTTCCCACTAGAATTTCTCAACTTCAGCACTATTGACATTTTTGGCCTAATGATTCTTTGTTACAGGGGCTGCCCTGTGCATTGTAGGATGTTTAGCAGCATTCCTGGCCTCTACCCACAGACACCAGTAGCACCCCCACCCCCAAGTTATGACAACCAAAAATATCTGCAGACATTGTTGAATGTCCCGCAGGGGTCAAAATGCCCCCTGCTCCCCCCTTTTAGAACTACCACACTAGAAAGCCATCCTAGAGTTCTTTCATTATACTTTTTCATTCCAGATCCTTTAGGATTAATTTAGAGATATTAAATACTGGTTAAAAGTACTGTTCCCAAGGTTTATAATAGAAACTGTGAAAATGGAGTGGGTATAGTTTATCTGCACTCTTACCTAAATGTTACCCCAAGGCAGCAGGTGAAGTTGAATGGGATAGAAAGAGGCTCTTTGCTTTAATCCTCATCTTCCACGTGATATAAAACTTTCCCCAAGTTAGTGTCTCTACCTATTCAGGAGAGAGCACAGGTGAGCAGGATTTGATACATCTACTCTAGGCTTCTATTCAGTGTGTCTACTTACAACTCAGTGAAAACAGTGCACATTTCCCCATGGGACAGGATCATCTGACTTGAGCCACTGTCTCTTAATTACACGAGGAAGCCACTCTTTCACTTCGCACAATGTGTTGCTGAAAGATACTCAAGTGGGGCTCATGGTGGGAATGTCTTCATACCCCGTGTCACCATGTGTTGCTCAGTTCAGCCTGTGTTATGGAGGGTGGTATAAACCTTAAATGCCACCTCACGGGATCCCCTGTGAAATGGAAGGTGCTCTAGGGCAGATTGCTGATGAAAATAATGCCAGTACGTAAGGATTCGAATAGATGCGCGTTCAAGGTGAAAGACACCAAGCTGAATCTTGCAAGTGAAAGAGCAGCTAGGAGCTAAAATAAGGTCAGGATCTGGGAAGAAGCATACGTCTTAAATAAGAAATGGGACGAAGGACACAGAAGATTAGAATTCAGTAAATCTTTTCACGGACACTTAACCATTTGCAGTCTCATGTTATATTTGCATACATGTACAATCTTCTTATTTTGATTTAAGATACAAGAAATCAGCAATATTTTCTAGGTCTTTTAGTGATCTTCCATGCCTCCTACCTAACCTGGCACTTAGCACTGAACTTTTCCAAAATAGGTGCTCAATAAACAATGATAAATGAAAGAGTCAAAGAGTTAGTAAATCCCTTCTCCAGTGTCTCCATGTCCTCATCCCAAGGGTATATTGGTCACTAGGGTGGTTGGGCAATTCTTGGACCACAGATCAGCTGCTGGGTTACTTAAAAATCCCCTCAGTCTCCTGCCTTTTCTGGGAGAGTCAGAAAGTACCTCGAGTCCTCTTTCTTCCGCCTCCCTGCTATTCATCTCTTCTGCCTTAACACATCGTGCAGAAAGCTCTAAACTGGGTAAGAACGTGCCTGTGCGTTGTTCTCCCATGTGAAACTTTCAACGTTTACTCCCTCAGAAAATGTTATATTTCTAGTACTTGATGTAACTGAAGAAAAGGCTGAATTTCAGGAACCATACTTGAGGAAGAAAAATATCTCTAGTGGTCTGCTTCTTCAAATAGAGTTAGAAGGTTGATTTTTTTTTTAATTGAGGTAAACTCTTCTAATTTTAGTCTTAATAAATTTAAAGTGATTGTTTCTTGACTTTCTATCCTTCCTTCCTCTCTTTCTTCACCTCCCATAGATTCTTACCATATTTGTCCTAGAATTATTCTGCCTCTGGAGTATGTTAAATGCTTGTCTAGATTTGGTCTGAGTCTCATCTTGCCATTTGTATCACTAGATTTTTCTCTGAATTTTACAGCCTTTCTTTTTTGCCCTTTCCACTTATTAGGAAACAGCTACCAGAACATTTTCCTCTCCTCTGAACAGCAGTATCCTCTCTCTGTAGCCTCTGGCTTGCATCCCATGTGGCAGGTTATGGAGACTCTCCCAGTAGCTATAAAATAGCCTGGTGTTTCAAGAACTTTGCAATGGTAATCTGAAGTGGAAGCCTTTCCCTAAAACAGAGATTAGAAGAGGCTTTAGCACAGAGTGGGTGTGACAGGGAGAGAATCAGTTGGAGTGATAATGTGCCCAGAGAACAGGATTCAGGCAAAGCAAGGTCAGGGCTGGAGTGAGCTCACAGCTGCAAGAGAAGGCTACCCTTTAATAAAACGGCTGAGCCACATTAGAGGACCGTTTTGCCTGCACAGTAGGCAGCATGTTACACAACTGGTATTCCAGCAGATCAGGACAAGTCTGAGATCTTTCCTGGAGTGAGAAAAACACTTGAGCCTTTTGGCTGATGTCAGGGCTGTTTGAGAGTGTCACATAGGCTTATTGCAGCTGGAATTTGGGGGACCATTTCATCCATGACCTCTCCAAAGCCATCCCTTCAAATTAACCTTTGGGTCTGTGCCCAGCCTTGCCAACCAGTCATGGAGATGAGCCTTAAATGTGTTTTTCTAAAGAATGTTGGAGTGCTTTTTCCCATTTTTTCCCTAAATGTTAGGGAGGGGAAAGGACCATTAATCCCCTTTCTTTTCTTTTTTACTAATTTAATCCAACACCAGATAATGTGATGTCTGAAAACATAGATCTTGAAGGTTCACTGAAAAAGAAAGTGACAGGTGGTAATGCGCTAACACCCACATCTGATTGAATAGAGAGGGGGAAAGAGAGGCCTACTCACTCTGCTGTCTGTGAGGTTAAAAGAAGAACTAATTTATGTGTGTGAGAGAAAAAATGAATATTGAATTCTGCAGCCTTATTCTGCTCAAAGTAGAGGATGTAATTATCATATGCACTGAGCAGTCCCAGATAGTTAGTATTCTGGATCTATAACTTCATAACAGGAACAAATTATATGAAGAAAAATTTTTTGTTCTGTCAGTAAGCCAGGCAAATATTTTATGACCTTATCTTTCCTTTGGACTTATGTCAATAATCAAACAGACTTGTTAGTTGACTCTGCAGGAGAATATATTTAAGCTGTTGTCTGCAGAATTCACTTCTGCCCAGCGTCAAAAATCTCATGTTTTTAAAAGGCATTAATGAGGTTAAAATGGCACAGCTAAGACTTGGTCTTGTGGGAGCATTGTTTTGTGTATCTCTTAGTCTTTGATTTTACAAAGCTTTCTTTGCTGCTGCAGGGTTTATGAAAAAAATAACATATTTATAAATGGAAATGGAGGACACTATGAAATTTAAAAAAAAAAAAAATCTGCATGGGCCAAACGCCTTGTTCTCTAGACTGAGTACTTGCCACCTGGTCAAGAAGCCAGTTAAGTGAGAGACGCGGGACTAGTTCCTCTCCATCACTCTCTGACTTTGGACCGCCACCATCTGGAGCTTCTTCTGTGGCTTTGACATTAAGCAGTGGGGTGCCCCTGCTGAATGTTCTTTGTTATTCCCATCATTCTTAAGCGTATTGTGAATTGATAATCTAATGTTTAGTTTTATGTCTCTTGAGTTAGATAATAGATTCATATCATCAGAAAGTTCGAAGGTACCAGAGAGATTAACTAACACAGCCCTCTCATTTTACAGATGAAGAAACTTTGATGACTGACAGGCTGTTGTTGTAATTAATTTTTGTGGTGTCTTTCTGAAAGGTGATGTGATGGCAAATGTTTAAGAAACGACAGTGTTTACTAGGAAAAACAGCTAAGCTCTTGTTTTAATGAAGTGAAATGTCAAGAAGTTTAGAAACAGTCTCCTAAGTTTTAATAAAACAAAGAAGTTCATTTCAAGTTGTTTTATACAGTCTTCAAATCTGACTTTATTTAAGATATAGAAATGATTTTTAGATATTTTAAACAGTAATTTGCTTTCTGATGACAAAAATAAAAATGTGTTTATCAGTGAAAATTTAGAAAATATAGAAAAGTATACAGTAGGAAAAAAAAATCACTAGTAATTCCAATACACTGAGAACCACTGTTAATCTCCTCTCAGTTTATTTGGGGATGGAGGTGGCATGGAGATAGATAAATATCATATAGATATGTTTTTTTAATGTCATTGTAATTATGCTATGCATATAGCTTTTATCTTTTTTCATGTAACATTTTATTGTAAATTGTTCCCTAGCATACTGTTGCAGAACGTGATTTTTAATGATGATATGTTCATTCCTTATTATTAGGTATTTGGGTAGCTTCCAAATTTCACTAAAATATTTCCAGTTACACTATAAATAACAATGAGATGTGATTCCTAGTAGTAAAGTCTTTTTGTGTATTGTTGATCATTTTATTCAGATAACTTCTTAAAAGTGAAGTCAGTAGGTCAAAGCATCTAAAGATTTTGAGTATTGAGGCTTGTGAAATCTGCTGTTAGTTCAATTTTAAATTTTCTATGGCTAATGATAAACCCAGTGGGAATATCACTGACAATGTGGCCCCAGTGGGAATATCACTGATAATGTGGTCTCTTTGTAGGTGTGATTACCATAGGCAGGCTCCCCACTGGCTCCAGAGTAAGGGATGGCTTTGTAGACGGGAATCCCATTTCATTGCAATTTCACCAAAACTAAGTACTATGAATTTTAAGTCTTCCCATATCTGACATTTAAAAAACTGTACCCAGTTTTTGTTTTAATTAATGTTTCTTTGCATAGAAAAAAGTTGAACATTCTGTAAGCTGATTACCAAATTTTCCGTTGGGATATTTGCCTTTTTCTTATTGTTTGCAAATGCTTTTATGTATTAGAGTTTAGTTCTAATTGATAAAATTTGCAAGTGTTTTAATCGGTTTATCATTTGCCTTTTAATTTTGTTTATAATTCATTTTGACATACTTTTAAATCTTTAACTCGTTAGACATGTCAATTTTTCTTTTATAATTTCTCCCTTGCCTTGATACTTTAGCCTTTCTAGCATAAAGGTCAATTGCCCCCTCTCTTTTATTAGCCAATAGTTTATGGACTTGCCTATTTATATGCTGTCCTAAATTGGAAATTTTCTGTATAATTATAGCAGAAGTAAAAAAAATTGATGGGCAAGGACGTGACCTTGGCATCTGTGTCCATTCCTGGTACACACAGTCAACACAAAAGTGTGAAAAGGGGGCGGATGGAGCACCTTCTAGGGCCAAGTCCCTTGCTTGGCTCTTTTGCACACTACCTCATTTAACCCTTACAATAGCCCAGGGAAGGAGATGTTGTCATAATTATTTTATAGATAGGAAGCTGGGATTTAGAAAGATTAAGTCACCTACCCATAGTCCCAAATCCAGGAAGGGTCAAGCTGGGATCTGTCGTGCGTGTGTCTGTGTGCCGAGCAAATCCTCGGTTCCTTCAACTCAGTGCTTACTAGCATTATTGCCCTCTGTTGTACTCCTAGTAAGTCCATCTAGAGGAAAGTAATCTTCATGATAGTACAGTGAGGACCTAGTTCCCAAATAATTGAATGACTATTACTACTATTACCATCGCTGTTACAATAATAGTGCAGCTTCTTGGTAATTCCAAAATGTCAGACTTGACATGCTTGCAACCAGGCAGCAATTTGCAGTATAAAGGGGCCTTGGCTTGTTTAGGTAAGATAGGGTTCCTTTGTGTTTCAGCAAGAGAAAAAATTATTCTCCATGCTGGCTTCAGGAGAAGAAAGGGGGTGTTTTTTTTTATGCTTCTCAATGATACTTATGGCTGTAATCCCCAGATTATATTGACTGAGCACCTAGAATTTGTGATGTTTTTAATAGAAGCCCATATATGATTTGTGCCAAATCAGAAATCATTATATGCTAGATTTAATAGAGGCAAAGGGAGCAGGTTCCAAAATATAAAAGGACATCGCAGGAGGAAAACTTAAAATAGAGAAAAGTTTATTCATTAAACTAATTTCTTTCTACATTTTGTGAAAGGCCACCATTATTCCATTCTGTCATTGAGAACATAACACAGTTTGGCAGCTATTCCCTAAGCAATGAATATGTTTGTAGCTTTTTACATTCAGAGTTTTCCCCCACTCCCCATCACATTTGAGAATGGCTGATTTAGATAATTTTGATTCTCTAAATTGTATGGTAAATCATATGGTAACTCCAAACATAGATCTATTAGATCACTGACTCCATACCAGTGTTGGGTATGTTTATCACAGCATGAGGTGGATTGGGAACATTGTTTGTGTATAGATGGGCACCCTCATGGGGAATGACATGACTCTGTAGTTTGTTGGAGAACTGGATGGAACAGGTGCCTCCTGCCAGCTATCACGCTTCAGCCAGGACCATGAGATCACTGGAACGGGAGAGAAAGCGAGAGGGGAAGCGAGAATGGGTGTGAGCATGAATATGGCAACTAATCAGATGAAAAGTGAAAGGCCAAGAGAGGAAACAGGATTAGAGTGAGAGATACTGAAAACTATATAGCCGTTATAAAAAATACTGTAGATATGTGTGTGTGAATTTTACTTTGGGCTTTATAGAATTTTTTAAAAATGATGGGATTAGGGTAATGTTTATGAACTTTCATATTTTCCTAAAATTCTCAAATATAAAATGTTAGGAATAAAAGAAAGAAAAGGAAAGTGAATTTTTTATTTGGTCTCTGACTCAGAACATTATAAACCCTCAGAACCTTGCAAGCTGAATGCCTTTTTCCACCTTACCTGAGCAGACATCTAAAAGCTTTATCTCTAGTTTGTGTAAGAGAAGGGTTGTTTCTGTTTGGCTCATTGAAAGCGTGTTTTCTGAGACTAACCTTCTTCTTCTTTTTTTTCCCCCCTTTTTTTCCCAACACATAGCATGGGACAGAGTGGGTCTCCTCCCCATGTAGTGTGTGCTCTTGCACTCATGGAGAAGTCCGGTGCACCCCCCAGCCATGCCCACCACTGTCGTGTGGACACCAGGAGCTGGAATTTGTCCCTGAAGGAAGCTGCTGCCCAGTCTGTGTGGGCCCTGGGAGTGAGTATAAGCCTGTAGAGAGAGAGCTTGTAAGAGTTTTTGCCTTTGAGGGTTACATGGTGACACCCCAACCCTTCTTTACTCTTTCTTACTTGATGTAGCTCTAAGATCCCTAACCCCATTCCCTATTGGATCCAAGATGTACCCATGCACTTCGCAGGAAGCAGTGTTTCAGAGAGTGAGGTTGGAATACATTTTTAAGTTCTATTCCAAACTTGGAATTTTGTGAGTCTCTGGTTTATTTGTTTTATCTTGGCCGGATGTTTCCCTTCTGCATTCACAGCTCCTGAGAGGGAAAAGGAAGTTGGGAAAATATCTTCTGATGTGATTCCATGAGGCCCAAGGTAGTTCCTCTTGCCCCCTTGGTGGAGAGAAGAATGAACATGTCAGTTTTCCATGTCGTGTGGCAAAAACAGTCAAGCGCTCAACTACTAGCCAAAAGGCTGGCCGTCCAAACCCACATAGAGGCTCCTCCGAAGACAGGCTTGGTGATCTGCTTCTGAAAGGTCATGGCCTGGAAAACCCTATGGAGCAGTTCTACCCTGAAACACATGGGGCTGCCATGAGTCGGAATTGACTCGACAGCAACTAACAACAAGGACAACCATTCTGCTGGCTTGTCTTTGAGATGACACAACACATTTCCCCAAGACTCACAGAATAGGTGCAGGTCTTTCATTTGTCTTCATTGCATCCTTGCTGAGGAGATTATGCTGCCTACACACCAAGGCATCGAGTTTTTGTTCAGCAAGCCAGGAACAGACTTTCAGGTCCTCTCCTTGGAGACCACTCTCAGTTCATTTACCCCTTTTATTACATTTTCGGATGTATGTCCCCTTCCCTTTTTATAACTAAATAATATGTACTTTATGATACATAGGATTTATTGCCATTGCTGAGTTATGCTCTCTCCAGACATATAATAGCTGGAATTATTCTTTAATTAAATAGTACCTGGAAGCCCCACTCTATTCTTGCCTGTTACCTTTAAAAAAAAAAACCCTGCTTTTTTCTTGGTCTCGTTATTCCATTCTGGCAATCTTTTACCATAAAGAACCATTCCAGGAATCAAAAAGTATGCTTATGCATTTCAGGTGTCACCCACCGAAAAGAATTGACATTTGCTTTGGGCCAAATAGCCTTGCAAGAGAGAATGTTCGGAAACAACAGAGTTGGAGATGAGGTAGAGAGAGGGATGTCTGAATTTATGAGGTTCTTCCTTACATCTTGAGCATCTTCTTCACTGGTGTTCCATGAGTAAGATGTGCTGGAAGAAGTTTTCCTGGAAAGAGTGGAGGATCAGCCAGGGTTGGCTATAAAATTTTCAGGGCCTTGTGCAAAATGAAAATCAAGGGCCCCTTGGAGTTTCTGGGTGGTGCAAATGGTTAACATGCTTGACTGCTAACTGAAAAGTTGGAGGTTTGAGTCTACCCATAAGTGCCTCGAAAGAAGTCTTGGTGATCTGCTTCCCCAAATTAGCCATTGAAAACACTATGGAGCACAGTTCTACTCTGACACAGACATAGGGTTGCCATGAGTCGGAGCTGACTCAAGGGCAACTGGTGTTTGTTCAAAAAGCAGGGAAAAAAAAGCTTTTTCTTTACTTCTGTGGTCTCTTAACCTACCAAGGTGTTTTTTATTTGGTGTTTAATGCCATGCTCCCTCAGGCACAGCGAAACTCAACAGAGTAAATGCAGATCCTCACAGGTACCCGGGGTCCCTCCCTGCAACTTGGTGCATCAGGCACACGCATCATCCCTGTGCTCGGGCCCCACTGTGGGTGGAGGGCAGCAGCGCTCACTGGGCAGGACAGGGGAGCAGGTGGCTGATAACCCATCCAAAGCCAAGCCATGCCAGTTCCCATGGAGTTGATTCTGAAAGGCCATGGATTCAGAAGCAGATCACCAGGCCTTTCTTCCGAAGTGCCTGAGTAGGTTCAAATCACCAACCTTTTGGTTTCTAATCAAATGTGTACCAGTTGTGCCACCCAGGGGCTCCTCAACCAATCCCAGGGAGGTAAAAAGGCAGAGGGAGGTGCTCAGCCCATGCTATGTTGTCCCTACTAACTTCGCTTACAAAACACAGATCAAAGATTAAAATTATTAAGAATATCAAGACAGCAACTATAGAGTATTAAGCCCCAAGCACAGGGCCCCCTTAATGGCAGTGTGGCCCTATGCAATTGCACCAGCAGCGGGCCCATGAAGCTGGCCCAAAACCAAAAAACTAAATCCATTGCTGTTGAGTCGGTTCCAACTCATAGTGATCCTATAGGACAGAGTAGAGCTACCGCATAGAGTTTCCAAGGACCACCTGGTGGATTTGAACTGCAGACCCTTTGATTAGCAGCTGTAGCACTTAACCACTACGCCACCAGGGTTTCCAAAGCTGGTCCTGGGATCAGCAAATGCAATCCTCCCGGTAAAGCTTCTTTCTTTGATCTTCCAGAACCTTGCTCCTATGAAGGTCGTGTGTTTCAGGATGGGGAGCACTGGCGGTTGAGCAGATGTGCCAAATGTGTGTGTAACAACGGGGTTGCCCAGTGCTTTGCAGCTCAGTGTCAGCCTCTGTTTTGTAACCAGGTAAGGAAGTCACCTCAGAGTGGATCATTCATAGGCTGTTAACTTCACTGTTGAGGAACTTGGACTCTCTTCTGAGATTATGTCATGTGGGCTCTGGGAGTGCTAGGAACAAGAAGCAAACTCTGTTTTGTTTTCCTTATACTTCTGAAGACGACCCCTGAGACATTTCTTTTACTCTTAGAAGCTACACATAGGTCTCATTACCAGCCATTTAGGCTAATTGTTACATAATGAAACTGAGCCTTGAGGGTACATACAAGGAAATTGCCAGCTCGAATTGCAGATGTTCCAAAAATGTCAAACTAAACATCTGGAAAATTCAGTGACATGATCATGTTTGTTATTATTTGTCAATGCATAGATATACTCTGCTTTAAGACATGTAAGTATTTTTGATTTTTGGATAATATTATTATCCAGATGTACACAATTTAATTCTTATAGGATAATGAGTCAAATCACCAAAGGATTTACTCTAGGGATGTTGTTGTTCATTTAAAGCTGATCTGATTTTCAAAAAAGGAAGTTCTTCACACAAATTTAGAAGAAAAATCAATTGAAATTAAATGTGGTATTTGTGGTATTTTATAGTTTTTTAGTCTTCCAGAGGCTCCTACGGATGTTCCAAGGCAGCTGACAGTTAACCACGAAAGGAGTTTGCCTCCGGTCACAAAATAGCTCAATTTTGATCTAAGGAAAAGCTGGAAGCCAGCATTTCATTGATACAGAGCAGTACTTTGTGTCAAATAAAACAAAATCAATAACATGGCATATTGTAACAATTGGGCAATATTTTTAAAGGCAGACAAAAGGCAATTAGACAAGAAATGCTAAATGCCAAATAAAGGGAAAATGTATCTAACTGAAAGACTGGGTTGTATTACCCACACTCCACCAACTACTGTGCTCATGTCACATCTCCCCATTCATCACAAAGTTTTGTCCTAGCTTTGCGACTACAAATGAGCTTCTTGGTAGAATTGCACAGTATTTTACTCTACTGTTCTTCTTACATTCGGAGAACACTGTGGTACTGAGCATTTTGATTAAGCTCATTCCAGGGTAAGTCTCCTTGTGTATGAAGGGCAATTAAGCAGTTTGCCACCATTACTATAACGGAGGTGAGGAGGAGGAAACACACCATTGTGAGCCTTCTGCTTTAATTCTTCAAAAACTTACCTACAGACTGTATGTTAGGGGGCCAGATATTAGAATAATTGAAAGTACTAGCTTCTATTTTAGAACACATTCAACACAAACTCCAGCTACACGCGTAGTATTCATGTTTGATTTGCATTAACATATGTGATTAATATAAACAGATGAAATTGGGTTCCATACTACAGATCTAAATGTACATGCATGCATTCTGAAATTTTGGAATAGGTATGTATTTTTTCTCTAGATTGATTTTAATCAGTCTTGCATCATTAAGTCTATGTTTTTGACATGGCATTAAAAAAATAACTGATCATTTAGAAGCACTTTTCTTGATTTACTATCACTATTAAATGTTGCATAGTCTGATGATGTAAAGGGGGTGCTGTGGAGTTGGTGCTAGTGATGGACCATCGCCACCACCACCACTCCCACCACCTCACCCCTACCATCACCATCATCATCACTATCATCATCATCACATTTAAGTGTTTACTGTGTGCCAGTCATTGTTTCAAGAGCTTTATAATTGTCGTAACAACCCTGTGAAGTAGGAGCTATTATTATTATCCCCACTTAACAGCTGATAAAACTGAGTAACTTGTTTGAGGTACCATGTTAGGAAATGTTAGTACCTCTGACTTAGGCAATTCAACTCCACAACCAGGCTCATATTTTTAATCATTATGCTATATTGCTTCCCAAAAATGATGAGTTGCATAGCATTTATGTGTAATAGTAATCACAATAGCAATAGTTGCTAACATTTCAAGAATTTTACAATATTTGAGGTTTTTTATATGCATTACCAAACCCACTGCCATTGAGTTGATTCCAACTCATAGCAACCCCATAGGGTTTCCAAGGCTGTAAATCTCTACGGTAGCAGACCATCTTTCTCCCGCAGAGCCACTGGTAGTTTCGAACCACCAACCTTTCGGTTAACAGTCATCGCGTTAACCACTTGCATTAACTCACTAAATATAAGGAAAACGCAAGTTTACCATACAAATGTACTTCTAGGACTTGAGATCTAGAAAAATTTGTAATCTTCAAAGATTTCAATGATTTTTAATTTAATATAAAGTTTTTATTTTAAATTATAAAAGAAATTTGTACTTATCAAGAAAAATTTGGAAAAGGCAGAGAAATAGGAAGGAAAAACATCACCCATATTTCAACCATTCAGAAAGACTATGATAGATTTTTTTTTGGAATTCATTTCAATTTTTTGGAAGGCAAATGGGAGTATGTTTTGTTTGACAGTTAAAATCACATTTTAGAAGTTGGCAATAATCCCTGACACATGGAGAAATTCCTTATGTTCAAATAAGGGGTTGTTCCCTTAATGAAGGATGTAAATTTATATACTGATATTGTTTACTTTCAACTTTGGCCAGATGCCTTGTGAACAGAGCCCTAACCCCTCCACATTTTTGAAGGCTCATTAAAATGGTCTGTTCAGTCAGATGTGGTCTGCTGAGGCTGAGAGTTGTTTCTGGTGATATTACCACAGGGCAGTTCACCTGTTTTTTCAATACCACAGTTTCTTATTCCCAATATTAATTAGTCTGAGTAGATTGGGCTACTTGTTCAAATATTTTTTTCAAGAAGGATAGCGGGTTGATACATCTTCTGAGCCTTTAAGTATTTGAGAATTATTTTTCTTACTGCCCTGTATACATGAAAGACAACTTGGAGGGGTCTAAAGTTTGGGGGGGGGTGGTTAATCTCTTCCCTTCCCAATCCTATAGACTCCTTTCCATTTTATTTTGGAATTTAGTGCTGCAGAGGAGAAGTCTGAGGTTCATCTGCTTTCTAGTCCTTGTTTTACTCTGTTAAATAGTTGTAGGGTGTTTCTTTTCTTTAACATTTTGCAGGATGTTTCATGTAGGTCTCTCTTCACGTATTTTACCTAGACCGTTGTAGAGCCCTTTAAGTCTGCATTCCAGTGTTGAATTATTTTCTTCAGTTATGTCTTTGATTAATCGTATCCATTTTGGTCATCCTCAATTCTTCAGAAACACCTGAAGTTGCTTAGGTTACTGCCCTCTCTTTCCTTCTCTTTATCTCTCATCTTCTCTCTCATCTCAGTCTCATTTCTCTCATCTCATTTTTATCTTTGTGTCTTTTCTCTCTGAATTATGGAAAGAACTACTGGAATTTATATTTACTATCTCCAGTGTAGATTTTAATTTTATAATTTCACTTTAATTTTTCTTTATTTTTCCTTATTGGTTCATCTAATTTTTTTATCCCAATGTTCCATCTTTCTTTATTGCTTCCTGCTTCTATTTAGTAAAGACTGCACTTTCTTGCATATTGCTGTTACAAAATGACTTTTAAAAAATTTCTTTTAAATCCTGTAGTAAATAGTGTTCAGAAGTCTACTCCTTCTCTGAATCTTCAGAATGTTATGCTTGTTCTTCAGAGTGTTTTTTTTTTTTTAATAATTTCCAAGTTGCTTGTTTCTATTTATTCATACTTTATAAAGAGCTGTCCATACCCACTGCTTGGGAGCTACAAAGGTAAGTGGCCTGCTCTTGGCTAATTTTCCTTTTTGGAACCATAGCCAGATACTAGGAAATATGCGGACTCCTAGTCCAAGTGAGTCCCTGAGTGGTGCAAATGGTTAATGTGCTAGGCTGCTAACCAAAAAGTTGGAAGTTCAGGCCTACCCAGTGGTGCCTCAGAAGAAAGGCCTGACAATCTACTTCAGAAAAATCAGACATTGAAAACCCTATGGATCACGTTCCACTCTGATATACATGAAGTTGCCATGAGTTGGAGCCAACTTGATGGCAACTGTTTTTTTTTTTTTTTCCCTAGTCCAGGAGTCTAGCAGGTTTTTGTTTAGTGGAGCTTTGTTGTACTAGTATCGTATCTTTTCCTGTTTCCACTGCCCACCACTCTTGCATTCTGAATATATGGAACAAAAACTATAATCTCTAGTTTGCTCTGCTGTGAACTCTTTCCATCTCTGCACCTTTCTTTTCGGGCTCTGCCCTTCCCTACTTTTTATCACTGCCCTCACCTACCCCAACAAATATACTTCCCACACATTTGTTTTCTAAACATTATGGGCTTTGACTAGACATAGTAAGAAAGATACTGAGGATGGTGAAAGGCTAGGAATGGCAATCTGACCGCTTCAAACAGCAACATCTCTTGTCTCACACTGGAGGAACGAAGGCCATATTCCGTTTGATATAGGAAGGTAGGAAGTTGGGAAGAGATGATGGTTCTTCTCTCTATTTAGGCTTGCACAAGAAATGAAAGTTACAGAATGTCTTATGGTTAGTCGGACTTCCTCTTGGCGCTGCAGTAGATTGGCTATTAGTTTTACTTTTTGGTGATGGAGCTTTCATCTCTTTCTATGGATTCAAAGATATTATGGTGCCAAGATATTTTGTCAAGAGCTATTAGCTATAATACATTCTAAACATATTTATCGTAAGTATTTTTATTTAAAGAATCCTAAAAGCCATAATTGAAAATATCCTTAATGGTAGTCCTACCCCAAATTGTAGTGACATTAATCATATCTTTAATATTGAAACTAGACCTGGGGTTGGTAAACTTTTTCTATAAAGGACCAGATAGTAAACGTTTACAGCTTTATGTGCCATATAGTTGTAACAACTACTCACCTCTGCCGTTGTAGCACGAAAACAGCCATAGACAATATGTAAACTAATAGGTGTGGTTGTGTTCCAATAAAGCTTTATTTGCAAAAAACAGGTAATGGGCTGGATTTGGCCCATGGGCCATAGTTGGCTGACCCCGTATTAGACTGTAGGCTTGGAAGGGCAAATCTATGTAGGCCAGAGTGATAAGATTCAGGTGTATGATAGCAACAAAATTGTATTGTTAATCAGTGTCTTTCCCGTTCTCTGATCCACCTCCCTGCTCAGCTTCTTTTTATTTATCTCTCCAGTTCTTAATTATTTACCTCTTCAATATATAAAGCAGCAGCCCAGAAAAGATCTCAACTTTCAACCATGTAGTTCTCTCATTTCCTGGATATTCTCTCTTTAAATGCTTTTTCTTCCTGCTCTTGTTGGTCTGTACTTGTAGAGAAAGAGTCTGTTTATGTCAGTAAAGTCTATAGTTATATATGGCCAATAGAATTGGAAAGTAAGATTTTCCTTGTACCAACCACTATATGAGTAATTCCCCCCACACCATACACACTGGAGTTGATTTACTACTGTACTTGGGCCTAGTCCATGTTGGTTAAGATTATTGATGCTAGCTCTATGCTTATTGAAGATTTGTGATTATGACTTGTTCCCTGTTTACCTAACACTGTATAAGCCTCAGTTCATTTGTTTACTACAGTGAAGTTGCTAAATAGTGTGACATCAACTATTCCTTCATTTTGCTTCCTTACTGAAATTTCGTTAAGCCACAGAGTTCTGTTTGATGTAAAGAAATACTCAATGATTTCAATGCATGTCCAATTTTCACATACTCTATTAAACATGAATAGTCAATAGCATTTTGTATATAGAATAAAAAAGAAAAAATAACCTGGTGTAAAGCAAGGAGGAAACTGTTGTTGGTTTAATTCCAGTGGTTTGAGTGTTTGAAATAAATCCCTATTAGATAGTAATACATTAATCCAGCTGATCATACATAACTGGGTTAAAGGACTACTGAGGTATGACTGGAACTTTCCAGGAAAATTTAAGGTTATTTGACCCCCCAAGTACATTTGCCTTCTTTTTCTTGCAGAACGAAAACCAGAGCAGCTGTGATAATAAAATCTCATTTTCTACTTCTCTTAAGAAAAACTGAAGATAACTGCTCTGAAAGTGTCTTCTATATAAGATCTACCACTTCTTAGTCATTGCAACTTGGTTCATTCTAACCCTTCTTCCCCTGCCTTTAATTTGTTTACCTTCCTGGCATTGAAGTCAAAGGGAGAAGCTGACTCTTTAGAATTAGTGAGGAGGCTGTTACCATGAAAATTTCTCTTAAGGTAGTAGAGAGCAAAGGTTTGACATTCCAGGGGTTCGGTGGAGGTGAAGGAGTGGTAGAGGTGAGAATGTAGGGATAGGAGAGTGAGGAATGGTTGTCTGGGCATTTAGTCTGTCACCCACATTTCTCTGTACTGGATTATTCCCAGATATGTAGGGATGTGATTGATTTTTTTTTTTTTTTTAACGTGTTAGGACCCCTAATGCATGTATGTAAATATATGGATGCATATAAAGACACAAAAGAATAGGAAAGTGGTTATCAAGGGAGGGGTACCTTCCCTTTTGAATTTAGAGGTAACCCAGCAAGAGTGTGAATGTTCTTAAGGGCTGGTAAGGGTTGGCTCTGAAATCCCACTGCCAATCATTTACTACCTATTAACTGTGTGGCTTTAGGCAAGTTACATAACCTTTCTGGTCTTAACTTTTCTTATTTGTAAAGTGAGGATGGAGCCCTGGTAGCGCAGTGGGTAAGAACTCAGCCCCTAACCAAAAGGTTAGCAGTTCGAATCCACCATCCACTACTTGGAAATCCTATGGGACAGTTCTACTCTGTCCTATAGGGTCTCTGTGAGTCAGAATTGACTTGATGGCAACAGGTTTGGTTGTTTTTGTTTTTTTTTGAATCAAGGATAAGAGCATCTGTTTCATAGGGTCATGTAAAGCACTTAGAACGGTATCTGGCAAACACTAAGTATATTGTTGTTATTGTTACTATTTGTGCTTTTGTTTGTTCTTAGAAGAGAACAGGACATGAGGAATGTACCAAATTCTTAAGGGTTACACTGATCTTGGAAGTGCTAATTCTTGTCAAAGAACTGTGACTAACAAAAGCTAAATGAGAGGAAATTGCTGTTATAGATGCTTGGGGCACATGATTAAGTTGGCTGTGAATAGAATGAAATTTTCCTACTGTTATGGATTTTATTAATGTTTTCTTTTGATGGATTTTTTTCCCCTTTTTGGGTGTTAAGGATGAAACTATAGTCCGAGTTCCTGGAAAATGTTGCCCACAGTGCTCTGCGCGATCCTGCTCTGCAGCTGGCCAAGTGTATGAGGTAACCTTTGATCTACCCCATGTAGGTGTTTTGACATACGTTCTGCCTGTTTAACCTGTGTTCCTCCCAACCCTCATGTCTGACTCTCTGCCAGGATTAGAAACTCAGTACATAAACAGCTTTTTTCTTCTCTTTATGGGAAGCCTTTCTGAAAAAATTAAGTTGAAGGGGATTACAAATATAAAGGAATGTGCTGGCAAGCAGCACCTGGTTCACGAACCCTTGTGAACTTCCTGTTCATACATCTTGACGGGGAGAAGGAGCTATCATTGGTTACTGTAAGTTTACACTTAGCTTTGAGGCTTTGGGAATGTAGTAAATGTCTGCTTTGGTCGGATGTTATGTACTGATGTCCAGAGACAACCCCTACCTTACACAGGGGAGAAGCAAGAGAAGGGCTAAGGGATAGAGGGAAGGGATTCAAGAAGTTGGTGATGGTGGAACCTGCAAACTTCAGAGTCTTATTGGAGCAGTCTACATAACTCTGCCTAACATACAGTTGGCACCAAATAAAAATTATCTCAACAAATTGAATGAATGAATCAATGAATGTTTTGTCTCAGGAGTACCCAGCTGAGCCAAAAGAGGGTTACATTATTCAAAAGCAAAGAACTAACCCAACTATTTCCCTTGTTGGCAGCCACTCTAAAGAAGGCTAAACAGAAATCAGTATTATGACCTTCAGTAGAGAATCTGGAACTGAGTTTTAAGGAATGGATGTCTCACAATTTCAGATGGGTCACTTGAAATCTGAATGAAAATATCTAATTGGGAAAAGATTTTTGTATGCCTTAGGCCTGCACTGTCCAACACAGTAGCCACATATGTGACTTGTATTATATTTGTATTGGACAGCACTGTGCTAGACTAATTTCTCTTTGAAGAGACACTCTCTGTATCTATTAAGGTGTTTTTGGCTGCAAGCAATAGAAATATCTTTCTAAAAATAGTTAAAGTGACAAGAATATTTATTCTGCTATATAACAAGAAATCCAGAGGTGGGGCTGTTGCAGAGTTAATCATTTAAGGGCTTGATAATGTCTTCAAGGACCTCAGCTCTTTTAATCTTTCCACCCTGCCATCCTCAGCATGTTGGCATTTGGCTTCCATCTTGTTCTCACATAGTCCCAAGATGGCTTCTTCAGCTCTGGGCGGCTGTTCCTCACACAATCATTATCAAAGGCTGGATGGAAGAAAGAGATGGGCTTTTCTTGTTTTACCTAGGAGAAGAGTCTTTTCCTGATCCTCCACCACTCTAGCATATTTCCCCTGAGGTCCCCTAGTTATGGTTGGGACAGTGGCAATGCCCTAGCTACAAAGGAAGCTGGGAAAATGACAATCTGACAGTGAGAACCCAACCTTCTGAAAGGAAAAAGAGTTGAAGCTTGACGGTTGATTAGCCAACCAACTGGGCCTGCCAAAGCTTCCTATTCATCTCAGTGTTTCCAGGGTCTGTATGTGCCAGGCACAGAGTATGTACATAACACCTTGTTGTAATGAATATAGTTGAATGAAAACGAATCCAAAGTTTCCTTTGGACATTTATTGACTTTCTTCTTAAAGATTGTTGCTACCTAAATGAGATCGTTTCTTAGGAGAATGTTCAATGTAGCTCAATTAAAAATTGTAATAAAAATGGGTATTTTGTGCATCTGTGTTTCTGTTTCATATATATGACATTTGATTTTCCACTTTTTCTTTCTTGCTGTACTCAGCATGGTGAGCAGTGGAGTGAAAACGCTTGTACCACATGTATATGTGACCGGGGCGAAGTCAGGTGCCACAGACAGGCCTGCCCTCCACTAAGATGTGAAAAGGTATTATTTGAAAGTGTGTAGCGATTTTCTAAGCTTTATTCTAGGTCATTTATGAAATGCATTTCTTAGCTTAGTGTACCCTTTGAAGGAATTATAAGGCTCAGAATGTTATGTAAAGATATAAAGAAAGATGATGCTTCCTAGGAAGGAGGGGTGGGATGGAGGAAGCTGTCTCGACTGGGTTAGGTCGGGGAGGGGGTGAGAAGCAGTGTCCAGTGTTGGTGTTTTATGTCCTTCTGCCCCACTGGCTCCTTATGCTTTTGCTGTTTCCTGAGCACTACGCTTCACACAGGAGCCTGGGTGGCACAAGTGGTTTGTGATCGGCTGCTAACTGAAAGGTTGGCTGTTCAAACCCACCCAGAGGCACCAAAGAAGTAAAGGCCTGGCAATCTGCTTGCGTAAAGATTACAGCCAAGAAAACCCTGTGGAGCAGTTCTATTTGTAACACATGGGGCCATCATGGGTTGGCGTGGATTTGACGGCAACTAACAACAGCAACAACTCTTCACACACTATCCTCTGTTACCTTAGGGTCAGAGCAGGGCTCGACGTCATGGGGAATGCTGTGAGGCATGTGTGTCTCCTGCCGGAAGCTGCTCCTATGATGGGATTGTGCGGTACCAGGATGAAATGTGGAAGGGCTCGGCCTGTGAGTTCTGCATGTGTGACCGTGGCCAAGTGACCTGCCAGACTGGAGAGTGTGCCAAAGGGGAGTGTGTCTGGGTAAGAAGCGAAGGCATTTCCATCCAAACTATAACAGTTCTTTCCAACAGGATAGGTGGTCCTGTGCTTGATCCTTACTTCTTGGCAGCAGAGGGGACCGGCAGGTTGACCACTCACATTACAAAGGGGATTCTAGCACAAATTCTGTGGTTTAAAGTGAATGTCACTGTTTGCTCAGACTGGTTCAGAACAGCCCCTGAAGCTTTTAGTTTTCTGTGCATCTGTCATATTGGAAACCCTGAGCCAGAGACGGGAAAGGGGGAGACATGCTATGGGACATTAGCCTATCAGTTAGCGCAGCTGGACCTCATTGCTGGTGGCCTGCCCAGCTTGCTATGGTTGTGAGACAGAGGTGCGCAGGTGGGCCAGTAGCCCAGCTCCTGCTGCAGGACCCACAGGCAGCATTTAGTAGAAAGGAGAGCCAGCACCTAGGGGTCTGCTTCTGTGTGTCAGGAAAGAAAACAAAATGTTTTTGTGTTTTGTTTTATTTTTAAGAGAAGTAAGGAGATTTCATAACCAATAAATTTTGTTGACCTTTGTTGACTTTTGCTGTCTGCAGAATATCCAGAAGCTTCTAACAAAGCCTCCTGTGTTTGGACTATAGATATATATTGTAGGGAAATTGCTTTGCTTTTCTTTTTTTTTTTAAATTCAGTTTTGACCCATTGCAAAACAAATTGCTTCTAAAGTCGTCTCCTTCTCCCTCACCACTCCCATCCGCCCCACCAGTTTCCCCCAGGTTGTGAACTCAAGTTGATGAGGAAAACTTGAGAGATCTGAAGCACTGGGTGTCTGTAAAGGCATTTTTCTTTCTAGTTCTTCTCCCCCAGTCCTCAGCTCCCCTGAAAGCTGAGCAGAAGGAGGCACAGCCTTTCAAACAAGTCTGTCAACGACAGTGTTATTTTTCATTTTGACTCCTACTTCTAAGGCTTGGCAGAGCTGAAACATGTTTAGGTAAAAAAGGGTCTTGCTTTTTGAAGATTTATTTCCCCCCACACACCATTTCATTTCTTTTCTTTCTTTATGGTTAGGGAGTTAGAATGATTGGGTGAAGATGAGAAAAAACCCAATCAGGGCCCTTTTCTTTCTCCCTTAATGTGCTTAGGCTGAGGCTGGGTGTCCTTGCCTCGACAGTCCACCCAAAGGATGCTAGGTTATTTTCCAAGATTTTAATTTGTCTAATATCCCAGCATTTATGGAAAGTGTGGGAGAAGTGATCCTGGTATGTAGATCCTTATACCATCTACTTTAGGTGGGTCTGAACAAAGAGTCTTACTGGCCGAAGATAATTTAACCCATCGTGTTCAATGTTAATGCATTTCCAAGTACCTTATTGTTCACAGAGAACCTAACTGTGGAAATACTAGCCAGTCCTCCTGTCTGTTCTTAGAAAAAATGGGGAGCAACTGTTGAAGGGGAGAGAGCCTCAGTGTTCCTCAAGCCACTCCTTAACACTGCTCTTCCCCCTTTCTAGTTTCCCCACTGTTTTCTCCTTTATGAACTGAGGAGGCCCTATGCCATTTGCTCATTTGGAGAAAACTTTAATCAACTGAATTGCTTTCTTCCAGATTATCCCCATGTTCCCCAAATTTTGTTTAAGGTACTGGCTTCCAAACTGGAAACACTATCAGAAATGAAATTTTGACCCAAATTAAATGCTACAGAAAGTATCCTTTAGCTTCCTTATATGGCATACTTCTGAAAATATCTAGTTTTTGAACTTGTTAAATCCTGGAAGTACTAACTTCCTAACTCCTGTTTAACTTGTATCACTGAAGATAAAAAGATGAATAAGACATTCTGTCCTTAAGAGGTCCAGGCCATGGGGAAAGTTAGATATGTAAATGGAAATTGTCATACACTGTGGCACCAACAGTTATGGAAATACGAATTAAAGACATTAGAAGCACTGGGCGGAAATGACCACCTCTGCCAAAGGGAGTAGTGAAAGTACATTACTGGCGTTTTTATTCAATTCGACCTAGCTTTCTGCCTGATTCTTTGTCTAAAATATCAAGGTCATTTGATTTCTAATCTTGGATACCGAGGTTCTGGAGGATGGATTAAGTCTAAGTGTATGTACATCTACAAAGGTGCATAGAAGTAAACTTCTAGAAGAGGCAAAAATGTTCATCTTCACTATTGTAATCATTATCACACTGACCATCAATAGCAGTGTTCTGAATGATATTGAAATCAGCATACAACTGTTCTTTGTCAAAAAAGGAAAAAATGGCATGACCCTTGTCTTTCATATATCAAACCAAATGCCTAGACATCAAAACATGAATAAATAAACTGTAGAAGGGTGTAATAAAATAGTTTTTATTTTTGTATTTTTTATGGTATCTTTGAGCATGAATTCAGATGAAGCCAAATTACTTTTTTCTTAAAAGGACCTAACGTTCAAGTATGAGGCATAAAATGGTGGGAGATAGAAACTTGTAGCAAAATGCATGGAAAAGGGTAGCCATGCCATAAATGTGAGCTCCCTTTCCTTCGCATGGAGAAAAAAAATCCCTCAAAAGACTGTTTTCTTTTCTGGTAGTAGATGGAGTCACAGAGAGTCTTTGCTCTGGTGGGTGTGGGTGTGATTTGGTGGGAAGGGTTAGCAGACTAGATCTGGCCTATGCAACAGAATCTTCTTAGAAAGAAAAGAATAAGTTTATTTCACAAAACAGTTTTGCTCAAAGGGAAAGTCAAATGCTAATTAGAGTGAGTTCCCCACTGCAGTGACCTGACTCAGTTTGACGCATCCTTCTATAAATAGCAAATCTATTTAGAACTTCCTACCTCACCAAAACTGAATCCTTGTTCCCCAGGAGCAGGGCTCACTGTATTTAGAATAGTGGTTGAAGGCTCAGAACAGCCACATTCTTTGCCTTATCTGGGTGATGCAGGTTCCATTTTCAGTTTTGTCTGCATGTATTGTAGTGGGCACTCAACAATCACTCATGCGTTTTGTCTTTAATAGAAGTACGTATATTCTGTCTTGTTTCAAAATACTGTTTTAAGTGACTTAGACTACATGCATATAAATGCCTTCATATGCATTAGACAAATTTCAGTATGTTTCAGGGTTATGCCTTCACTACTTGCTGATTTGTCACATTTCTGGAGAACAATTTATATGTAAATACATCTGCTCTGTAGCATGCAGCTCTGTATCAGTCTCTGATTGGCCTTGAATTTTGATGGACAATGATCTATATATAACTCTCTTCTTCCTGAAATAACTTTTAGATACCCTAAAAAGTTACAGCCTTTCATGTATTCTTGTGTTACTTTAAAAAGTTAATTTTTTCTTTATTGAAATAATGCATGTTCATTCTAGAACATTTTAAAGATTCAAGAAAAGTAGAAAAGAGACTTAAAAATCCATCCATAATGCTACTATCCAAAGACAGCCAATGATTTTATATTTTTATTTAGTGCACAGTTTTTAAAACAAAATATTATTTTGATTATTCTGTTTATGCAATTTTGCAGTATTCTTCATGGTTTCTACACTTTTAAATACATTTTAAATGTAATATAGATCCAAAATTAAAGAATGCCTTCATTTACAAAACATTAGCATTCTTTAGAAAGTAGATGCATCTTTAGAGAGTGGAAAGTGCTTTAAAAAATATTCTTTAGCCTACAGATAGATTTTAGTATTTGCATGTGAAAAATTATAGAGATTGGATGTTTAACAGTGGATTCCCTGGGAGGTAGAGGTGCAGGAGACTTTTACTTTTAAGTTATAGAATTCAGAATTATTTAAACTTTTTATAGTCAGCATTTATTATTTTATTATAAAAAATTTAAAAAGTTGCAAGTATTCATATGGGAAAATTAGAGTGATAAGATTTTGAAAGTTAAACATCTACTTTTCTAGTGTGGCATTCCTTTTTTTCCTTATGTATTTAAAATAGTGGTTGTGTAAGTTGAATAACAGTAAGTGTTTCAGAATATTGAATAAAAATTAATTTTTGACTGTTTAACTAATGTCTGAAACTATATGCATATAGGTCTGATTTTGTATTCAAGAAAAATCGTTGGTTTTACTTGAGTACTGTTAATGAAACCAAAGTCACAAGTTCAAACCTTTTATATTTAAGATGGCTTGATCCTTTTCTGAAATTCATAACTTTCCAAGACAATAACCTTAACCTGGACCATCCATCTGTCTTATTCATGTGAGCCTCTGGGCATGTGCAGGATGTTATGGGAAGACTAGTGCACAAGTAGAGCCCTGGTGGCGCAGCGGTTAAGAACTTGGCTGCTAACCAAAAGGTCAGCAGTTCGAATCCACCAGCCACTCCTTGGAAACCCTGTGGGGCAGTTCTACTCTGTCCTGTAAGGGTTGCTATTACTCAGATTTGACTCGATGGCAGTGGGTTTGTTTTTGGGGAGTTTAGTGCACAAGTATCACCAGCACTGGAATAAGAATGCTTAGCGGGGTATGCTGTATTCACTAGACTATCCATAGAAAGGGCAGCACAGGGGGAGGTGAAATAAGTTGTGGGTGGGTGGAAGCAAAGGGGCATGCTAAGGTTTTCATTCTAGTCAGGCAGCCCAGCTGCTTCGCAATTTAGCCCTGCTGCCTGGAGATGTTAATTTGATATGTGCCACTGCAACCCTTATTTCTACAGGGTGAAGAATTAATTCACTTAGATGGAAAATGCTGTCCTGAATGCATTTCAAGGAATAGTTATTGTGTTTATGAAGAAAATGCAGAATTTGTGAGTATCTGGCTGGTAACTGAGGACTATCAAAGAAATTTATAGTTCGATATTTAATGAAATGAGTTCTCTCTTTATGTATCCATTCATTTTCTCAACAAGTGTTATTTCATACTTATTATGTGCCAGAGAGTGGGGATATGGAAGTGAATACAACAGGCAGAGTTCCTGCTTTCGTGGAGCTTATGTTCTAGTGTGAGACACAGACAGCAAAACACACATGTCGAGTGATAATCAGAGCTATTAAGAGGAATAAAGCAGCGAAGGGGGCTAGAGAGTTGAATGGGGGGTGTGTGGTCTTTTACATAAGAGGATCAGGGAGTTCTCTCTTATGCAGAGAAAGTTGAGCAAAACCTGAAGGAAGTGAGGGAATAAGCCACATGAATTTCTAGGGGGAAACATACCAGGAAGAGACCCACACATGCAAAGGCAGAGTGTGCTTGGCATGTACAAGAAACAACAAGAAAGTGAATCTGGCTGGAACAAAGTGAGTAAGAGAGAAGGGAGTTGGAGATAGGTCCAGAAAGGAGCCTGAAAGTTATGGTAAATAATTTGTGTTTTACCTAAGGCAGATGGGAACCACTGGGGAGTTTTGAAAAGAGCAGTGCTGTAATCTAACTGACTTGTAAAAGGACCACTTTGGCTGCTGCATGGGCGAGTGACTGTAGGGTGCAAGGCTGGAAGCAGGTGGTTTGGTTAGAAGGTTTTTGCCAATAGTCCAGATAAAGGGTGATGCTAGCTTGGTAGAGGGAGGAAGTAGGGGGTGTGGTGAAAAGTGGTCAAGCTCTGGATATATTTAGCAGGTAAGCTGATGAGATTTCGATGAACAGAATATGGGGTGAAATTCCATTTGCTGAGATTTTATTTCTCCCAAGGTCTTTATTATATTACCCAAAGGAAAAAAGAATTATCTTAATCTCTTCTAATTTACCCTATTTACGTAGCCCATATTTTCCACATGAGGTTTTGGAATGTTGGTAAATTCAATTAGTTCTTGAAAATATGCCAGTTGATCATAAATACACCTGCTTCATTGACTAATCTGAATAGGATTATAAACTTTAGGATTAGGTGCTTTGACCTATGAACTCATTCCTACATAGTCTTTCTTTTTGATTTGAATACATTATAGCTTTCATTCTTCCAGTGTTTCTATATCTGCTGGGGAGGCAGAATTTTGCAGACCTAGCAGTGTAGGCTCTAGGTGTGAATCCCTACTCTGCCACATACTAATTGTGACCTTGGACATGTTACTTAACCTTCAACTGTAGAATGGGGAATAAAATACTACCTACTTCACAGGGCTGTTGAGACTTATAGCAGTGCCAGGCAGATTTTCAAAAATGCTTTAAAAAAAAAAACAGGTATTATTATTATGCTGTTGGCTTTATTTGTTTCATAGTGGCATTACATAGCTTTAGTCATCCTTGTTTCTTAAGAATTTCGGCAGTTAAAGGTTCCCTATAAATGTTGAATTTTATTTTCACAACGGTAGCATCATTTTTCCTATTCCTTTTTGGAGGTAAATGAAGCCAGTGGAATTAAAGAAAAGCAAATTGTTTGTACAAATCCTCACAATTCCCTTATTGCACAAAATTCAAGAATTTACCCTTACAAAATCCCTTGGCTTCATAATGAGGGAAATTGAAGCCAAGTACTCAAGCACAAACTGAGAATAGGAATTCAGAAATATTTCCTAGGCACATTGTTTTCACCCCTTGTTGGTATGCTTTTCTTGTTTTCGGTATCGTTAGATTTTATTTTTATTTATAACACATGAATGGAGCTGCATGATACTTGGGGAAAGATGGATAACTCTTAATGAAAAATGAATAAATCAACCTAATGTTGTTTTTAGTGTTATAATAAGTACATTTCCTCTCTGTTCTCAGATGTCCTCAAATGCCAGTGAAGTTACACGTATTCCAGTAAGTATAGATTTGTAAGTTGTACATAGATGTTTATACAAGTAATGATCTGCATCAACTATCTTGGGGAACCTTAAAGCCTTAGTATTTTAGCAGTGAAGTTTGATGACACAATGGTCAGAAATGAAAAGTCTTAATGATAAATAAGACTTTGATCTATTGAATGTTTGCTCCTTTGCTTAGCTTATTTTTTCCATAATTGAGAATTAATATTCCCCAACTATAAGCCCCTGCACATTTTCTTTCCCTGTATAGTGATGATTTTCTCCTTCTGATTTTTTTTTTTTTTTTATATCTTCAGTGGTTGCTAAAGAACGTGAATCTTTGGTTTGGGGAACACTATACTGAGTGTTCGTTCTCTCTAGGTTTGAGGGCAATGATATGTGGTTTCTTTTTAAGGGAAAGTATGAGCATATTTGTTCATACAATCAAGCTTACAGTTTTGAAGCTTGCTTTGAATAAAGGGCCAGGGACTCTGTCTGGCTTGAAGCAGAAGAAAAGCACTTCTGCCTTTGAAAGATAATATTCCTCATTTTTTTTAAATCACCACTCATTGTTGCCAAATACCATCATATAATTGTTTGGAATGTTTAACACCAGTTTCACCTAATGAACATTTTATCAAAATTTTATTAAAATATGCTGTCCTATTCTCTCCTTTCTTACATCCCTCATCACCCCAATACATTCCGGTAGGAAGCTTTGTCCCTTTTCTATCTCCGGGGTGAGCAGGACTTTGAGCAAAAATGACCTGCTCTTTGTAATTCACTTTGGCTTCTCTGTTAAAGTATTAATGTTTATTACCATAATTTGCTTGGCTGAAAAGAATATTTTGGTGTGAGATAGCCTGTGGCATTTGTACAGCCCACTAAAATGGGCCTTCAAAAGCTTTAATTTTAAGAATACAATGACTCTATTGTTGGAGTAACCACAAGCAGATTCAGGGCTTTACCCAGGTTGCCCACTTTTACTGTCGAGAGTGTATTTAGTGTACCTGCTAATCACTAGGTACACAGTAATCCCTCATAGTGCTTTTTTTGGGGAGAAAGTTTGAGAAACAAGTTTTAAATGCTTTTGGCTTATGAAGAATGATCTGTGATGGTAGTGCTGGAAAGCTATCTCTGTGTGCCTAAAATCTTTCTGCCTGTTCCTGAGTCCTACATTAAAATAAAAAAAAATGAATAAACCAAACTAGTTGCCATTAAGTCTATTCTGAATAATGGTGACCCTGTGTATGTCAGAGTAGAGCTGTGCTCCATAAGAGTTTTCGTGGCTGTGAACTTTTGGAAGCAAATTGCCAGGTTTTTCTTAGAAGTGGACACAACAGGCATCTCTGAGTGGGTTCAAAGTGACAACCTTTAGGTTAGCAGCTATTTGCGCCACCCAGGGGCTCATATATTAAAGTAAACCAGTTATAAACAAAGAGGGAGAAATACCGCTCTTTTACATTTAGGACTCTTTCCCTATTGCCCTATTTCAGAATTGGGTTTGATAGGATTACGTGCCATGGTATCACCTTGTCCATCACCTCATCCCTCATGAAAATCATAAGCAATTTACTAGCAAACTGTTTTCTGAATCACTGCGCTCTGATAACTATGTCATTCTTTATTGTTTCATGTAGGAGGGGGAGACATGGGAGGCTGGCCCTTGCAAGGTGTGTGAGTGTCGGGGGGCTCAGGTAACTTGCTATGAGCCCTCTTGTCCACCTTGTCCAGTGGCCACACTAGCCGTGAAGGTGAAGGGACAATGCTGTCCAGATTGCACATTGGGTAGGTCCACGTTCGATTTATTTCTACTGAGATATTTTTACTGCACAAAATTCAGAGAGATCCTCTTTTTTCCCCCTTGATTTTACTTAGTCACCTGGTGGGTTGGTTGGTTTGTTTCTTCCTAATTTTTCCAACAAATATTTCTAATTAATCTTTGTCCATATAATTGCCAAACTCCCCTACTATAAGCATGTGACCTTTGGCAAGTCACTGCCCCTCTCTAAACCTTACTTTTCTTGTTAATAAAATGTGCCTTATCTGTCTTGCCAAATTATTGTGAAAATCAAAAGACATAATGTCTATAAACTTGTAAGTCAAGTATATTGTAAAGATTGTTCCATTGTTGAGGATATGAAAATAATTCCTCAAAGTTTGTTATAGAAGTTCTTTTTATTTTTTTTAAGGTGCACCATTAAACAGATGGCTCCTTTTGGAGTTCTCAAGTGGGTTTTTTGAGGTTTAAAGACTCATTAATTTTTTCCAGAAGAAAATTTTATCTACTTGTTCTGCAACTCTGCTTTCAAATCACCTGGGGTTGAATTAGTTCCAGTTAATACTTGTTGGCAAGCACTGGAGGTGCTCTGCCTGAGCAGTAATTTGCCTATAAGCTTGGTCTTTCTTGGAGAAGTGGCATTTTCTTCCACTCATATTTCATAATTAATTGTTTTCATCTGTGGGCCCCAGTTTTTCATGCTGGCAGTTGCTCTTGTTGCATTCAGCTTATTTTGGCTAATCACAGTGTTTCTTTGAAGAGCTTATCATGGGAAAAGCAAGCAACTTTATAGTTTAATTACGATACCTTCTCCAAAGTGGCTTTCCAAAACAAATATTTAGCATATTGTCTACTATACTTTGAAAATCAAGTCCAAGAACTCCTTTGCTGACACCACTGAATTCAGTGATAATTCCAGTTACTAGAAATGAGATTTGAAATTTTGGAAAAAGTGAAGAAAACTGGCTAAATTTTTCCCCAGAAAATAATCACTATTTTTTAAAATTAAGGTTTTATGTCAACTTCTCTTATGCATGTCAAAGCTTAAGAAGAACATCTGATAAATGGCAAATTATTGAATTTGTTTAAATCGTATATTATGATCTAGCCATTCCAGTTCCTAGAGGCATTCCAGCAGGTAAAAACATTAATGGGTCTGTTTCATAATGTTTTTAGTGCCTTCAATTTGGGGCTTTAATTTACTGTTTTCAATTTAGTGAGGGTTATTCAGGTGAAGAAAGGTTCTTTGAAATCTCACAACGAAATGCATTTTTGCCGTTTGGGGACCTTTTCCACACTTAAGTTCCAGTGTTTTCTGTTCTTCGTATTCTATACAACTCTATACCCTGTAGTTTCTTTTTCTGGAGCATATAAGATAAACCATATGGTCTTTACTGAGTTTTCCTCTGTCTTGAATTTTAGCTCATTGCCACAAAGACTGCCTGACCTGTTCTCAGTCTCCAGACCATTGTGATCTCTGCCAGGATCCCACAAAGTTACTACAGAATGGACGGTGTGTGCACACCTGTGGTCTGGGATTTTACCAAGCCAGTGGTCGCTGTTTAGGTATGGCTCTAGGCAGACAACCGGGTGGTGGTGTTGTATGGTGGATAAGTTGCTATTCTCAAACTGAGGCTTAATATTGTCAAGGAGGGAATCATGAAAGCAGAAAATGCACAACTTCCAAAAACCATTAAGAGGTAGTCATGTCACCTGTAGGCTATCTGGCCTTTTTACCTGCAGGCCTCTTTCTTCTGACATTTTATGGATCTTTAGTACTTACAGGGAGATAGGTGATTTGGAGGTCTGAATGGTTACTAGATAGTCATGGCTGGATTTTTCAATTTTGAAGGCTTTCAAAGATTATAGTATCAGTAGGATACTTTGTGTCGTTTATTAAAAGAGTCATATAATCCAGGGTAGAACTTTAGAATTGACATGAACCTTCAAGATCACTTATTAGAACTTTCTCATTTTGCAAATGGGAAACCTGTGGCCAGAAAAATTAATCAACTTGTTCTACATCACACAGATAATTGGTAATAGAGTTTATCTCTTTTGGATTACCAAGGGAGCCACAGTGAGTTTATGTACATTTCACAATTCTTATACATCTGAGATACAGGTCTTATTCTGGGTGAGTTTGGCTCCATTGAGGTCAAATCATAAGTTACTCTGCTTCATAGGGGATTGCTCATAGGAATCCTATGCTACAATTAATTATCCAGTTAAAAGCATGTAGGTTCATACCCTGGCTGCAAGTATTTAACCTCTCTGTGCCTCAGTACTCTTATCTGTAAAATGGGATAACATTATTACCTTCCTCAGAAGGTTTTTATGAATTAAGTGAGTTAATATTTGTAATATACTTAGAATAATGTCTAGGATGTAGGCAGTCCTCAATAAAGGTTAGCTGCTTTTATTTTTTTTGTAATTATTCATTTCTCCCCACTTCCTCCCCTGATTCATAATCTTCAGTCATTTTGAAAGTTATTTACATTTCTGCCATAGAGTGTGGAGGAAAAGGGGCAAAGGATTTTTTTTTTAAAAGGTTGATTCAGAGAGAAACTGGGAGCTACTGGGAACACAGACTCGCAAGCCAGACTGCCTGGTTTTGAATGCCAGCTTCACCACTTACTAGACATGTGACTTTGGGCAAGATATTTAACCTCGCTGAGTTTGTTCCTTATCTCTGAAATTGGGATCAGTAATAATACCTACCTCCTAGGGTCATTGTGAGAATTAAATGCTTTAATATGTGTAAAGCTCTTAGAACAGTGCCTCATAGGAAATATGCACTATGTAAGTGATGCATGTGAAAATTATTTTCCTGCCTTTCTTGTTCTCTGTGATCCCAGGGCTTCAGGATTGGGCTGTGTAAGAACTGGCACTGGGGTAGTGTCTGAGCTAACCAGAATTCCCTCTTTCTTTCTCCTGACCTTGCCCGGAGCCAGCCTGCCAGCCCCAGTGTGCCGCATGCACCAGTGGGCTGGAGTGTTCCTCCTGCCAGCCACCCCTACTGTTGCAGCACGGTCAGTGTGTGCCCATCTGTGCGGATGGCTTCTACCAAGATCACCACTCCTGTGCAGGTAATCACCGGCCAGGCTGCAGACGGGTGGGCCACCCAGAAAGCCATCACCTTGAGTGATCTGGGGCCAACAGGAGCTGTAAAATGCATCTCAAGTAAGAGAAGGAACTCCACACAAGACTCCTGATGGGACGAAAAGAACAGTGGGATGAGGGAGATGATGCACAATGTTTTTGTGACCTTATTAGTGCTTCAGTGAAGTGCATATATGATATAATTTCTGTAAATTCTTCTGCACAAGCCTTGGTCATTGCAACAGTATTTTTTTAATACCATACTTTTGGTTCAGGATTGCCATTATGTTGTAAGTTAGATTCCTTAGTAGTGCAAATACACAGTGCTTAAATGAAAGCAAAGGGAAAAGTCTACCTATCTATTTTAAAATTTATTTTCATCTAGAGAGAGAGGGCAAAACAGAAACAAGAAAGTGGCATCATAATAAGGAATTTGGGCAAATAAAATAAAAGTAGACATATAAATCTACTCTTACTTTAGGATATATGTATATGTGACCAAACTTGTGGCCATTGAGTCGATTCCAACTTATGGCAACCCCATGTGTTACAGAGTAGAGCTGCTCCAAAGGGTTTTCTTGGCTGTTATGGTGGCGTAGTGGTTAAGAGCTCGGCTGCTAACCAAAAGGTTGGCAGTTTGAATCTACCAGCAGCTACTTGGAAACCCTATGGGGCAGTTATATTCTGTCGTATAGGGTTGCTCTGAGTCAAAATTGACTCTATGGCAATGGGTTTGTTTAGGTTTTTGGTATCTTTATGGAAGCAGATTGCCAGGTCTTTCTTCCACAGTGCTGCTGGGTGGGTTTGAACTACCAACATTTAGGTTAGTAGTTGAGCACAAACTGTGCCACCCAGGGACTATGTGTGTATGTGTGTGTGTGTGTGTACACATGCATACAGATACTTAAGATCTAGTTGAAATTCTTATTGTCATAGTGGTCTCTGGGGGTGGGAATGGATAATATAATTTAATTTGTTGTTTATACTTGACCATGTTTCAACAGTGATTGTAATCATGGATATAAGCGGAAAAAGTAAATGCAAAAGAATTTTTTTAATGAAGAAATGGGAGAAAGGGTTAATGATGAAAGTGAAGACGGGAATAGAGATGTAAGTTTGTCTGTAGGAGAGAACAGGTAATCAGATATGCCCAGAACCTATGGCAGGGAGTGTGGTGGCAGGTAAATCTGAAATAGCAGACATGGCCCAGAGGGCAGAGCTTGGATGCCATACCAGGGGTTGTGACAGCTAAGCTCTGCAGGTGTGTGGGAGAAGGGTGGGCTGTGATGAGAATCAGCAGGTGGACAAGTCTGAGGGTCAGCTTACATGCTCCTTTCCTTCATGCCCTTTGTTAGATTTTCAGGACAGTCATTTGGAGGAAAAGTAGTAAAGAGGTTAAGTGCGTGGTATTAATTAAGTGTGAAGGCTGAATGAGCTTTAAGGCAATGTGAAAGTCCTATGTAGAGGATGGCTGCTGGTTCCTTCCACTCCAGGTCATGGTCACAAGCAGAGACTACAGGATTGTGACAATCATCCTTAAAGGAATCCCTGGTGTTGTTTATGCCATTGAGATATGAGGATAATGGGACCTGCCCTGTGGACACTCACCCTTACATAAGATATGGAAGGCAATAACTTCTTAGTTTGGCTTGGGGACTCTGAGGTCTATAAGAATGCCTTCTATATTTTTGTATCCCTAGCAGCAAGGGCTACACAAAGTGCTCAGTATTTGTTGAACAAGTGTGTGGTGAATGAATGAACATACTACTCCTTGATGACTTTTGAAGGACCACTGTTTCTGTAGAAGTCTCAGCAATAAAAAAAGAACCCTTAACCTTCATTGCGTGTCATGTTCTATTTACCCGTTATTTTAAAACAGGGTCAAAGTAGGCACATACAGATGCCTTTATGAATGTCTAATGGTTGGGCAATTTAAGTAAACTGCTGAAATTTCAATTTGATGAAATTATTGAATGTATTCTTTACTTCTTTCTTCTGTCCCATCAAAGAGACCTCCTGCTAGCACTCCTGTGACAGAATTTTCCTTTAAAAGGGAATTAATTCCCTAGATTATTCTCCTCCCTCCATACTACCTCTATCCCCTGCATAACACACACACACACAAACATACACGCACACACACTGCATGAATATTTGCTTGCTTTTTTTTGGCCATTTTCTTTTTTTCCATGCCCAGTGTTTTAATTAGTGATGTTAATTCTGTTTTGGTACACTCTGAAATGGGTAATGTTTCATTTGATCACTGGTTTACGTAGCTAATTGCTTCTACATTCCATCCACATACTCACACACAAATGGCTCTGGTAGAAAGTTGCTGGGAAAATTTGTTCGTGCTCCCTCCAGGGAATTAAACCAATTTGCTTTAGTTCAGCCTGATTGCATTTTTATGCATAAAATAAGGAGAAAGAAGAGAGCAAGAGGGGTGACAGGAGAGAAAGCAGAGAGATCTTAAAAATTAAAACTAAACTTGTGATCAATTTCCATATGCCATTTTGGTGCCAACTGCCCAAATCATCTTTCCAAATAAGCTTTCTCAGCATTGGAAATTTTTTTGCAGTATTTGTGCTTGTACCATTTTTGGTGACTTTTCACAACTGACCTTGGAAGTCGGTCAGTCAGCCAGTGCTCTTAGGTACGTGCTAAACTTTTCAAAAAGATACTTTCATGTTGCAGTAACAACAGGTTTTTCTGGATTGATTCCTCTTGGCAGGGTCATTTATGTTATGACTGGGATAATTTGGCACTTTATTGACCTTTCAGAACCAAAAGAAGTGAACACTGTGATGAAGAAACTAATTGTCAGAAATCACCTGATTAATATCTGTGCACACTTTGTTGAATGAGGACAGAGTGAAAAATACAAGGCAGAGCCAAGTGGCACATAAAGATGGCTCTTCAACAAAAGAGTATGTGCAGGTGAACCAGGGTGGGATGAAAGGAGACACAGAGTCCTGCCAGAGAATCTTATCTTAGGGGCCCTTATCATTTTGTTTTTTTCCCTTGGGTTTAATGATATACAAACATACATGCACACATATGCATACACACATATGTATATAAGTGTGTACATTAATATTGTCATATTCTTGTGCTTGATTAAACTAAATAATGTTGTGTTTATAAATCACATTCTGTAGCCCATGGCAGCCTGTCTTAGTTATGTAGTGCTGCTATAACAGAAATTTATTTTCTCACAGTTTAGGAGGCTAGAAGTCTGAATTCCGGGCACCAGCTCTAGGAGAAGGCTTGCTGTCTCTGTCGGCTCTGGAGGAAGGAGAGTCCTTGTCTCTTCTGAGCTTCAGCTCCTGGGCAATCTTCATGTGGCTTGGCATCTTTCTTTCCCCATCTCTGCTAGCTCTCTTGCTTATTTAATATCTTTTATATCTCAAAAGAGATTGACTCAAGATACACCCAAATCCTGCCTCATTAACATAACAAACATAACCTATTCCTCATTAACATAACCTAATCCTGCCTCATTAACATAACAGACACAACCCATTCACAAATGGGATTATAACCACAGAGGTTAGGATTTACAACACATATTTTTGGGGAACACAATTCAACCCATAGCACAGCCCCTACTTTGTTACCCTTGCTTTCCCCAACTTTGGAGTTTGATGTTTTGATCACTCTCCTTACAGCTCAGCTCATCCCCAGTTTTTATGTGAATCTAAATAGGAGACAGGAATATGTAAGCAGCCCCTTATCCATAGCACATAGAGCCAAGAAGAAATCACACTCTTAGCCCCCAAACCTCACATCTTAGGCCTGGCCCGTAGATATCTGGTTTCCCCCCAGGCATCCTTTGTTCCCAGCTAGATCTGGTCCCAAATCCGTGTTGCCCACCCTAACCCCCTCTTCTTAAGCCCATGGACCTCATCAGGTCCTAGTACTGTGTTTCTGCTTTGGTTCCTGCCACCTTCTCCTGCCATAGCTTGTCTCTTAATCAACGCCAGCCTTATGGTGATGGACTTCACCCTTGTACAGATGCCCCCAACAGCACCAAATGGAAGTCTTCGTGCATGACTCTTGGGGTACCACTTTCTCTGGATTTATTGTATTCCCTCTACCAAGGTAGTGATTCCATTACTTCTTCTTAGAAATCTTAGTGTTAAATCTATATCTGAGCCAAGTGTAAGCTCACCATGTCCTGAGAACATTCTTCCTTGCCTGTCTTGCCTCTCTTACATGGTCGACCTCTGTTCTACTCTAGGAGGACCACTGAAATGTGCACACAAATCCTAGATGTAAGAGCCCACAAGAAGAAAAGTTAAAACAACCAAACACACACTATGCATTGTTTGTTTAAAATGAATAGCTCATATGACTGTAGCCTTCTGGTAGAGAACAAGTGGAATTTAACCCATCTTTACATGGGTATCAATGTTTGGTTTGTCTACTTAAAAATTACATTATTTACAAAAATCTGATAATGGAGCTATGAACACGCCGTGGCAAATGCTGCCTTCATTCTTCAGGCCCAGAGGTGGGAGGGAACATGGCACAGTGGTTAAGAGTTTAGTCTCGGGGGCCAAACCACCTGGATTCCAGTCTCAGCTCTGTCACTTACTAGCTGCAACATATTACTTAACTTTGTTCTTTACTGGCCTTATGAGTAAAACGGGTACAATAATGTTTACCTCATAGCACTGTGGTGAGGATTAAATGAACAAATTCACATATGCCATTTAGTTAGCTGTAGAGGGTCAGCAAAAAAAAAAAAGGAAGACCTTCAACAAGATGGATTGACACAGTTGCTTCAACAATGGGCTCAAGCATAGAAATGATTGTGAGGATGGCGCGGGACTGAGCAGTGTTTCGTTCTGTTGTACATAGGGTCGCTATGAGTCAGAACCTACTCGATGGCATCTAACAACAGCAACACTTAGTTACCTACCTAGTTAGTCCTCCATATATGTTAAGAGACTTGAATTTCTGCTTTCCATTATCCTTCTTCCCT